ATTGTCATGTTACTTCAAAATGCAATATCATCTTGGAGTAAAGGTTCAAAAAAAGCTTTTGTAGAACTTACTGTTACATAAACACTTCAATATTTAGCTTTTTTGTTATGTGAAAATCAATTCTGTATTTTCTTGTGTGGCTACTGGTCAAAAATCAAATGAACTCTTGGCAATGCAAGGCCATCATCATCTTCTCTGAAACTAATTATTGGAGTAATATATTCAGATCCATATAAAAGTCAAAAAGACAATTTGCATAAGCGATTTTGTGTCAAATAAATGTCTTTTTATGTGAGAGAGCAATTATGCAAATCAAGTCCAAAAAATATCTCCACACAAAACAGTCCAAGACACATTTACGTCAATGAGATGAAAGCACAACAGTTGCAAATAGAATCTGTCTGACATTCTGTGAGAACCAGGTGTGCACACGTCGCTAAAACTAACATCCCAACATCAAATAAAAGGTCAGATTACAGCGCGTGTTGCACTTCCTTTTATGTTTTTTTTCTCTGAATAAATTTCAATTAACTTGGATGAACCGTGACAGGCCATGGAAGTATTACTGTAACGGCTGTCTGTTTGAGGCACAGTCTGTTTACTGCATCTGTAGAAAATATGACTGACATGTGGTTAATAGCCCACAGTGTCCAGTCCAGTCTATAACATAGTACTGACCCAAACACCAAATGGAAGAACACTGTGTCCAAGGAAAAAGTCATGAATAAAGGAGCACCAATGTGGAAATATACTGACACTTTGTAATCCCATGTGTATTGGGGGAATGTTCACCAGTTATCATGGAGACACAGTGCACACTTCAGTTAAGTTTTAAGCCAAATAAGTTTTAAGATTGTCTGAAAACTCAAGAAAAATAAATACAAAATGGATTTTTAACACATTTTCAAGAGCCTTTGATCAATATGAGCGTTCAGGGTCCTGTTTGATTTTCAACAAAATGGTGAGAGTGACTCACTGATAAAGTGTTGGTTAATGCTTGCTAGTTTGTGACTGTAAAGTTATTTGACAGAGAATGTTTGTGTGTATTGGAAAAATATAAAGTGCTGACTGTCAATTATAGGTAATGAGCCTTTGTACTTCAGTATTAACACACATACTTTTGTGGTACATATAGCCTAAAGCAATTTCAAACTTCACTGCAATGATGATCAGAATTCTCACTGAAATAAGATTTTGTAGGGTTTTGTGCTATATGTCCCTGTTGTATTAGTGTGAGATAAATCTGGTCAAAACATAGAGTATAAAACTTTTGATATGTGTTACTCTGCACGTTCGGATCCATGAGTGACATGCTGTTAATAATCCCAGTGTCCAGCACGGTCACTGTCCTCTCTCTCACATCTATAAAACACCAGAGGAAATGGGGAATCAGTAATTCAGGTCAGGCTCATCTATAGCACTGGAGGAGGATGGAATAATATAAAAAACTAGCTCTCATCTCCCCAGGCATAATAGTCTGCATATCAGGATGGCCCAGCTGCGTCCAGCTGTCTTATCATCTCAGTGCGAGCCTAAGAAACATGTCTGACTGGCTTTCTTCTCCTTCACGCTGCAAAACTACAAAAACTGCAATTTTTTGCTTTCCTTCCTTGTGTTAAAGCAATTCATGTTTTTATGCAATGGTGCATTTGGAGATTCTGGGTCATTCTGCAGCTTTAGTAACACTAAAATAATGAACAATGCCAGTATATTTGAGTACGATATATCTCCTGAACATTGAGCATTACACTCCTCCTACTCCTTCTATTTCTAGTAGATAACGGAGAATATTTCTTATGGAGATTATTGCACTGTTTAATTTACTGGAAAAAAAAAATGTAGATAAAGATAAAAATCAAAAAAAAAAAAAAAAAAAAAAAAGCAGAAACCATGTGAGGTCAATACTGGAAAAGTTTCACAATTACAACTTTAAATTGTTACTGATTTTACCTGCATCTCATCAAAAATAAATTGGAGAGTGCTCTGGGTCACACAGACAAATTAAAGATGTTCTCCTTCTTGATTGTAACATGGCTCTGAACATGCAGAGGAGGCAAAATAACCGGTTTTCAGCACTTTCCAATCAGCCTGTGTTTTAAATGACTAATCTTCTTCTTGGGTGTTATTTTTGGTCCCCTATTGATGAGTATTCCTAATGTGTGTTCACATTTAATCCTGACAGGGACGCACCTGCACAGCTAAACAGCACAGTTACAACCAAAGCTTCATTATTCAATCACTATTTTATTTTTGGAGGGCGCCGCATGCTCCAAGATTGACTGCGTCGTAGGTGCCCTTTTGAGAGGCAGGGATTAGACTCAGCCCCATTCATAATGAGGACAAGCAGGGATTGGAGCTGATCGTTTCCTCATTGAACAAAGGTCAACGATCAATATCTGTGGACAAGTTTAGTTTTTACATCTGTGGGGAAGAGGGGCACTAATCTGTTGACTATGAGCACTCCATTACCCCTGTGCCACAGGTGAGATGCACTTTCACATCCGCACTGTTTGTCATTAGCGTTGGGAGCTGGAGGTCCCTCATGAAGCCTTTATTCAATGTGACATTTAATTTGGACTAGGTCAAACGACAAATTGCTTATAAAGAGTGAATGTGAGAGTGAATGGTCTGTGTATGTTTGGTGGTCCTAAACAAAGCAGGCTGTAGATGCTCCGTAAGCCAAATGACTCCTAACATGAATATTTGGTTAGACGAGTGAATACAATAACAAATACTTGGCACCAAAGACACACAAAATAGTAAAAGTAAAAGTCATCATCAGCTTCTCTCCATGGAGATGTTGCCCGGAATGGTCCACAGTATGGCATTACACGTATTTATCTCAGAGATGGAGACAGCAGGTGACACCATAGGGCCAGGTTGCATACAAGATCTATGGAGAGGCGAGCCCACTCACAGTAAGAAAGCTAATTTTTAAGTCAATACAAAAATTAATGCATTTAATGCCATATAGGGAGACATTACAGACAAAGCATGAAAACAACATCTCCATGAAGACAAGCAGATGATGAACCCTCCATCAGAAGTTACTCAATGCAACTTTAATGTAAAACAAGAATCATTATCATATCATGATAGACTTACCTAAACATCGAAGAAAAGCTTTATTGTCCACTTGAATCTGGGAGAGAAAAGATAAAGTAACTTTAAAGGTGCAATGCGCAACTTTACGGGTGGAGGGTCTCTTACCTGCTTGTCTCCATGGAAACGTTATTGCTTTCCCTGAAATGTTCCATTGGTATGACATTCAAAATATCCATCTAGCATTTGTTCATTACGAGTGCCTCTATTGCTCAAAATTTCAATTCCTTCTCTGAACAGAATTTGAATTGTAATGTGGCGCTGTAGCCAGCTTGTCTCCCTCATGATAGAAAGGTTTGATCTGTACAGTGTACAAACACAGTAATAACATTTCCATGGAGACAAGCAGGTGGCAAACAATCCACTAGAAATGTTACGTAGTTCACCTTTAAGGACACTTTAAAAACATGCTTTCATTTCATCTGAAAGCTATTTAGATGAAGACCTTTATGATCTTTAGCAGTCAGCATATTTTTTGTAATAGGTCATATAAATTGATCATCTTGCATTAACCTTTTCAAAATGTATCAATAAAAAATAATAATAAAATACAGCCATTTTACATTCTTCGTAATGGTCTGACTAGAGCTTTAGTACCTTTAGATCTATTTGCAAATACAGCCTACAGTGCAATGACTGATGGAGCTCATTGTCGGTTTACTTTAAGTGCATATAATCTCATCTGTGTTGTGGTTTACGACAGTATGAAGCTGTTAAGTGCTCAAAAGCCATGGCAACAGGTCTGTAGAGACTGACAGGTCCTAATTATAGTATAGATTCAAGCTGCAAGTCAGTTAAAGCTAAGGTACAACTTTAAACAAAATGGGTGATCAGGTGGTTAATAGACATCTTTGCATCTTATTTTACCAACCATGATTACAGTATAAATACTACTTGAGATACTTATCTTGCAGGAAAATACGGGGGTCAGCTCGTTGTTGTGGTTTGTGCATGATTCCGTGAGTGGATATGAGGCGATACATTTATTTGCAGTTTATATAGCTCAACTTTACTCTTTCTATGTAGCAACGTGACATTTTGCTTAATAGCTAATCCTGCAGGCTACTAATAATCAATGTAAACAGTGCCCCCTTTTGGTGAGGTCATAATATAATTTCACACGCCACAGTTGAATAAAATGCTTGAGAATGTTTTCTATTTTTACTGTTCCATCTTGGTAGAGACTAGACCTGGCTTCCAAGTTATAATTTTAGTTTTCTGTGTAAGGGAGTCGGTGAATCATCATTGGCAGACCTGACATAAAAATCTGGATTTATTTTCTTAAAGCCATTAAACTGTATATTTGTTGCGTGTTATTAGGACTAACATTTACCATTAGCCAACGAAAATCTAAATAAAAGTAATCTTTTTATTTAAGATGGCTGCCTCAAGGCGACGTGTGTGCTCCTTCAAAGTCTCAGCCAATTTAATCCTGCCTAAATCCATCTATCAAGTGAATGCATCTTCTATTTATGGCAAGCAGAGGCTCCTCACCTTGTTTCAAAAGCAATTGAGAGTTCAGGATCTAGAGAATATTTCTACTCTATCCTGTATGAATATTCATTGGCTGCTTAGGCAGATAGCATTTTGTGAGACAGTGACAGAATACATTAGAAAAATAGCTTATCAAAGTGTAATCAAATGTAATGCATGCACGCCAAAATGAAATATGCATGACAAATTGGCTTTGGAGCAGGCAGAGCAGGCATGTCCTCTGAACCCTGAAACTAAATCTCATTGAAATTCCTTTCATTATGACGGAGCAGAGGAGGGACAGAGAGGCAGAAATGATGGGAGGGAATTTGAGATTACAGAGGCAGCTGAATCCTTGCATCACAAACTAGTATGTCACTGCAAAACTGTTACATAACTTTATAATAAGGGACACCAAAGTGTAATTGAACATTTAGCTGTTTTATTTACAAATGAATAATTTCGCCTTGTATCAGTACGATATTTTCTTTACATGAAAAACCAGGTACAATCTTTTCTTAATCAGTGAAAAGCAAGTGCAGACAGACAAAGGACATTTTTAAATATATTTTTCAAGAATTGCTTTACGTTTTCCCAGTTTAAACAAAAGGCACATCAACTTTACAACATCTTGGTTAACAAAAATATTAATACCATAATGGAATGGAGATGGATAACAGACAAGATAATCTCACCTTTTTGTAAACTAATTAATTTTAAAATATCTGTAAGATTTGATATTATAGTAAAAGTTTATTGCTGGAAAGGTTAGCCTGCTAAAATCTTTGATACATGCACAACTATTTTATACATCTTAATACTTATGAAGCAGAAAAGCAGATAACAACTTAGCAAGCTTACCCTTTAGATAAAAATATGAATATGGATAATGTAAACTTATAAGTCCAAAATTACTGTTACGTCTGAACTATTAGTTATGGCTTCAGGTTTATGGTTTATTATCACAAGTAGTCTCTTCATCAATTTGTTGGAGTACAGTCACATCACATGGAGGTTGGTTGGCCAGCTAAGAAAAAAAAAAACAGAAATTAAAATGATTTACCAAATACATTACAAAAGTTATGATTTCACTTACTTTTGAATCGCATATAGCAGGTGTTGCAATACAAGTGTTTATTTCGTATTCTGACTTCTGCTCCGGCTTGTGATCCACCAAGGTCCGACCCACAATCGAAACACTAAAAAGTCCAAAAAAAGTTAATCGCTGTGCACGGCTTTTTAAAGATAAACTGAAATGTCTAAGTGCAGTGAAGGACCAGGGCAGATAAGAGTGAAGGCTCAGGACTGGAAAGGAAAAAGGTGCACTTAAACTTCAAGGTGAGGACTGGAAAAAGCATCACATTTAAAGAGAACAGAGATCAGAAGAGAAAATGTAAAAAGGAATGGAGAAGTTTGATATGTCAGAAACTGGATGCAGCCGAGATTTTCCTTGGTCCTGAGAGGGTCCAGAGTCTCACCTTAAAACAGCCCAAATGATAACAGAGCCCCAATGACTCGATGATCATGGCTGCTCCCTTCCCCAGTGGAGTGTCACAGTATGTACAGATTTTCTTGCCACTCACTGACCTGGATTATAAAGTGTAGAGCAGTAATGTTAAAGCTGAGCACACATGCACAGGACATGTATGGATGGTTAAACACACAGATACATTGCACTAGTATAATATATTAGTTTATATATTACATCACCCATCGTATATATAGATGTCCACAGGGTTCTAAATAGAACAAAATAAATTGTGTTTTTCTTAGCATATATGTGCCAATTCAAAAGTAACAAGTTTGAGAGATAATGGTCATATAGAGTGTTTAAATTTTTATTACTAAAACTTTTTTTTTCCCGATTCCAAAATTATTTTAATCCAACTATCTACTCTTTAAATTGTCCCATTTAGAACCTTGAATACCACCAGGCTTTTGGGCGTCACTTTTACCTGTTCCTCTGCTGAGAGTCAGACAGTGGCTCTGGAGATCTGGTGGGTGAAGGAGCAGACAATGAAGGGGAGGGTGTCTGTCGGGACCAGGGGACTGAGGGGGTTCCTGCCCCACCTCGCAGAGAACTCAGAGAGGATGAAGAGGGTAGAGTGGAGGAGCGAGGAAGACCTCCTGACCAACCACCGTAAGAGGAAGTGCTACCCGCCATGGCAGACTGAGGCCGTGAGTAGTTTTGGATTTGAGAGTTGGTCCTAGGTGTCCATGAAGAACGCCAGGAGTTATAGTTGTTGGAATCCAGGTTGTCAAGAGATTCACCTCTGCAAAGCGTTGCATGTTAGCAGTTAGTATAACCAATTTGGCTGCCATCAGGATGTTTGGCTTTTTCTTTTTTTCTTTTTTTTTTTATCAATTTGCCAACACAAGACTGGACTGGCAGCCATTACAAAGCAAAGCAAAAAACACCCTTATATGTTAGGTACCAAACCAACCACTGTTAGTCATCCCCGGTCTACAGTAAAGTGGGTGTACCTGCGCATAGGGGGCACCTCTCTCTCCATGCTGGTGGTGCTGGTGGTGGAGGAGCGTTGCCTGATCCAGCTGCCGTCTGTCAGCAGAGGGGTCTTCTTCTTCATCTCTTTAAGGATCTGCTGTCGCTCCAGCTCGGCCTGCGATGCTGACTGTTGACCCCTCTGAGTCAGTGTACTCCCCATCACTGCACACAAACAGATTACAGAGAACACCACTTCTGTCAAATTTTTTTTTAACAGACCAGTTTGATTATTTTTCCAAGCCTTGATTTCAATGCAGGTGTGATTAAGTCAAATAAAATCAAAAATAATGACTAAAGTGGCTTTTTCAATCAAGCTAGAAATAATTACTTGCTTCGGCAAGTGATTGATTAATAATTTGTTTTCTGCCTTACTAATCAAACATGTTCCAGGAAATGGAATATTGTATGCCATTATTGACACAGAAACCAATCAGAGAAGGTCACAGAGGGGAGAATGCATTTGATTTGTGATGTTGCCTCATGTTTGAGCCCACCTCTCTCAGGCTGTCTATATCTCATAACATTGAGAATGTCCCTTCTCTCCATCTCCAGCTCTGACGCTGCTCTTTGACTCTGAGCCTGTTTATAGCGCTCGCTCATCCGCTCCTGCAACAGCCAGTGAGCTATGCCCTTTGGCTGCACAGACACACCTGCGCCCCATACAAGCAAGGCAAATTTATTTTACACAATCCATACATTTAAGATTTACAACTGTTAACAGTATCAAAGCCATAGTGCATACATTTACTATGATACTGAATAAAATCCTCTAAAGCAAAGTAAAGATTCACACACCACAAGACCAAGAGCTATGTTGACAATTGGTGACATTACAGACAGCAAGTATAGATGAAAATTCATATATGTAGTTTACAGAAATGAAAACATAAACTCTTGCTTAAGGAGAAAATGACAAACACTGACCTCTCTGTTGAGTTCTTTGTTCTTCATCAAGTTGAGGAGATGATTTGGATCTTGTCCTGCTATAAAAATGCAAATATATTTACAACTCAAGTCCGTAATATTAAGTTCCTTGATTAGTCTTAAGCAAAGAAAGCACATATGTGGGCATAGTTGAAGGAGCCAGAAACTATACAATACATAAAAATCCTATATAAACAGTGGAGCAGCTTTATGCTATCAGATGGTAGCGGAAATATTTTCATGCAACTTTAATGTTTATTTAGAACTGTAGTGAGTCTCAGTGGTATGTCGGTGGGAGGTTTGGTGCAGTTGCCAAAACAAGGATTTGCTCAGAAACGGCTTCTGAAAGAACTAACATGGAAGAATACAGTAGAAAGCCTGCACCCATTCAGAAAGAGTGGATGTGTTTGAACAATGAAAAACACTAAATACATGAAAAAGATGGGTAGATTTTTCCACACATTTGTACCAACCTGTCTGCAAAGGTCATTGTTGGCTGGGCATTGAAGCCACCAGCCCTTTGGTGAAGTTGATGGGTGAATGGAGTGAGATGAGCCCAGAGTTAGACGAAAAAGACGAATGACAAAGCACATGCATATTGTTATTATACATATTAGTAACAAGTATATTATATAAGCATTAGCAGGTTAGTGATGCAGAGACCTAAAATTTCAAGTATGAAGTACAATATATTGAATTGCTGTGTAAAAAACTGCACAAGATATAAGCTAATTTCCAACCCACTTTACACTTTGACAGTAACATATTTTTTGTCTAACAGTATCAATCAACCAAAACCAATTTGTTGTCCAAATTCTGTAACTTTTTACATGCCTTCTTGGTCAGTGTGTGTGCTGGTACATACTACTAAACAGACTAAATTGGCTAGACTGTGTGGCCATATACAAGCTTGGGACCACCTGGAGGTCAAACTGTTCATTACATATTTATAAACACATTGCATGATGCTTTGAATTTTAACTTATTAAATGTTAGTAACTGTTAGTATGGCTTTGACAGCACCAGACAGCAATGCCATGCGTTATCACATGTAATAATGCCGAATGGTGAGTGGAGAATGTGTTTGGGACAGGACTAACCACTGCTGTTGCTGCTGCTGTATCTCCATGGCTCTCTCTCTTTCTCTGCGTTGTTGTTCTGCGAGTTCCTCTGCTCTCCTCCTCCTCTCCTTCTCTTCATCTTCCCTCCTCCTCTCCTCATCCTCTCTCCGCCTCCTCTCCCTCTCTTCCTCCTCTCTTCTCCTCTTCCTCTCTTTCTCCTCCTCCTCCCTCCTTTTCCTCTCCTCCTCTTCTTGTTGTTCCCTCCTCAGCCTCTCCTCTCTCAGGCGCTGGAGCTCTCGTTCTTCGGCCTGTTTCTGCTGCTCCAGCTCCTCCTTCCTCTTCCTCTCCTGCTCCTCCCACAGAGAGCTGAGGGGCTGGCTGACGAGTGAAAGGGGGGAGTGAGGACCCTTGCTCTGGCTGTTCACCTCCAGACCCGCAGGCTACCACAGAGAAGCAAAGAGGAAGTATTTGACCTTTACTGTAGTGTGGATCAGCATCAAATATTAAGCAACTCAGCACATGTCCTGAGGTGGCACGCATTTGGAAATTTCAGACAGACTTTTTATTGCAAAACAACAGTGATGTATCTATTAAACCATGGCTAGACATGGTTCTGCTTTCTCTTTCATTTGGCTTTTTAGGGGAGAGAAGGAAAATGAAAATATCAGGATCTGACTGCATATAATGATGGCATAATTACAGCATAACATTTAGCCGTGCTATTTGCATATATTTAGACGAGCTCCTGCTATGAGTCATGGACGCTTGCCTTTTGGGGTCCATTGGTTTACTTAAGTTTATGGGTGTTGTGCGTAGACTACCAACTAGATATGCTAAAACACCCTGGAATGAATTTAAATTAGTTCAGTTTGTGAGAGTGTTTAGATTTACATTTTCTATGTACTAAAAGCAGGAGTATAATTCTTTTAATTTTGAGGCCAGCAAACCAAATTACACTAATAACTACACATCATGTATGCTAATGGAAAGTGTAGTGATTCATTAATCTTCCACTCTTTTCTACTTTACTGACCTCCTACTGTTTCACCAATACAGAGATGCACTGCCAATTGACAATACAAGCTTCTTAAAAACACTCACCACCTGCTGGCTTTGAGTGCTGCTTATCTCCTGTTGAGCTTTGAGCCACTCTTCCTGCAGTTTTTCTTGATCACGTTTATATTTTTCCTAGAGGACAGATAGGTAAAAGATTAGGACTTAGCTACATAAAGTTTATTCCAGACACACTGCTGAAGAAAAATTTTGATTATTATTATTTGAAATACCTCAGCTTATATTTACATTACAGTTTTGTGTGATTGTCCATGTAGATGACAGTGCACCTTAAACCAATTAGTTAGGGATAAACATCAAAATGTTTTTGAAATCGATAATACTCATACCTGTAGGAGGCGCTCTTGCTCCTTCTGCCATTTCTCTTGCCTTTTTCTCTCCTCTTCAGGGTCCCAGGACCAACGGCTAGAGGATGGAGTGATTGGAGGAACAGGTATCTAATCAGCAGAAAGCACAGATTTAGACACCAGTCAAGTGTGCCAAGAGAATGCCTTCACTGGCGATCAATAAAGTTAAGTCTTATCTTCTATAGCTTATCTTATTTTTTCACACCGTTCAGATTACACAAAATTTCATAGTTTATAAATATTCAGGCAAATATTTATCATATAGTGGACTTGCCATAAAATAAATATACCATTAGCCACTAAAGTCTTAATACTGTAGATATGTCTGGTACTTACATCTGGCATTACAGGCTCTGTTCCTCCTTGAAGAAAGAATAAATCAGTTAGCACAGACATGCACAGGCAAAGTAAAACCTAGGGCGATACTCTGTCAAACTTATTTTAACTCATCAATCATTTTAGATAATATAACATTTAAAATTAAAACACAATCTAGCAGCAACTATGGTGGAATTCCTTAAATCAGGAACTATTCATTCACCTCATTTGGGATCACCTTGTAACTGGCATTTATTTTGAGTGAATGGTTTCAAATAGGAATATTGATTAATTGAGTGTGCGAAAAAGAGGATAAAAGATGCGGGAAACACACAGGAAATGCATGCATAAATAAAGAGATAAGGCACACATTGACTGATTCCATACATGCATTTGGAGAGAATTTTTTCCAGAACAAATGCAGGAAAAGACTGACAATTCCACAAGTACAGACAAGACTGGATTTGTATTTGTGGTGGGCAAAGGCATGCTGTCTTTAACAGTCTTAACTTACACAAAATGGACAAAATGGACTTGTGAGCTTTAAGCCATGTTAGAATGTTGTTACCTCATCAAAAACATACCCGTTACTGTATTTTGTTTCATTCATTAACACATGTTTGAGTAATTCTTTATTATTAGTCTGTCTACATTTCCAAAGCTCAAAGTGCTCTTGTGATGTCATGAAGTGGTAGTTGTCAAGTTAATAGCTTTGTTTTAACCAAATATGCAGGATGTGTGTGTTAAACAAATTAACTAAAACACAGCTCTATGTTTTTGATGAGTACACAACATCATAACATATCAGAAAATAATGTAGTAATATAGGACCTTCAAGGTATATCTGCTGTTTGAGTATTCATTTTAGTGTATGATAAAGATCACTTTGTCCAGCATGTCTGTGTCTCAGATTTTGGTGAGAAAAGTCAAGGACCACAGCAGCACACACTGTTTACCACAGAGGTAGATCAGCGCACTGACATTGGACCCTGAGCCCCCTAGAGGAAGGAAGGTGTAATGCATAAAGGTCAGAAAGAGCCCCCAGAACAGACAAGCATGACACATTTGATTTGAGTTTGCAATCAACTGCTTTACATGCAGTGAACTCCGTTTGCATCTAAGAAGTAATGGACAAAGCACAGAGACTTCAGACACCTTGAATAGAAGGATACGAAGTAATGACATTTCTAATTACCCAAGTTTTTATAGTTTACCTTGTTCAAAAAACTCAGATCTTCGTTTTAAGTTTTTCAAAGATATTGGTTCTGACTCTACATGAAAACAAGAAGGGAAAGAACTCCTTAATTACGGATGCAAAGCACATTACAGTAAATCCAGATATTCAATAAGTTCCTATGGCTTTGTTTATTCGAAGTCAGCAAGTTTAAGCCTGGACTGTTTTGTAAGCTGCATTCAGACCGAAGCCAAGATCAATTCTGTAACCTTTCTGATTGCGTGTGCTCTGCTCGCTACCTTTGTTCCTCATGGTCACAGGCTCGTTCCGGAGACTGCCATTAAGTCCATTGGAGGCCACATCCTGGGTACAGAAATAGCATTGCACATAATCATTAAAATAGATTACACAAATGAACAAAACACAGTGAAATGTTGAATTCATTTGGTATTACTTACAACAACTGGGTGTGTGAAGGTGTCTTTGGGTGACTCTGATTTGTTGGGGATACGTGAAGTAAAATCCAAACTGGAGTTGACTGTCTTAGTATCAGGAGCACCTAGAAGTAGTGGATGATCCGTAGTGGTCAGATTGATGGTCTTATGGCTTTTATATGGCAGGGAAGTTTGGTCTCTGTTCCAGTCTGCACCATGCAATGCAATGGCAAAGATGTACAATCATATGTTTTGAGCTGTTTGGTAATTGGGAAATTGATCAGGCATAACATTATAGTCGTTTACCGCATTTACAAAACAGTTCTACTGACAGAAACATTTTTTTCCCTTCTTCTCTCTTCTCTTCTAATTAATGCTAATTTTATGATTATTATTTATATTTTGATTTGTTTGTTTTGTGATTTTGGTGTCTTTCTTATTCTGTTAGGGATTTTGAATTACTTTGCATACTCTGTGTGTTATAGAAATAAACTTGCCTACTTTATATTTTGATAACACTCTGGCATTGATATCTCCTGTAATTTGAGCTACTGGTTCTATACTTCCCACACAGGTCTGTTCAGTACCCCCATGTGAATAACTTTGACCATTGCACTGGTTAATAGTAGTAGTAGTAGTAGTAGTAGTAGTAGTAGTAATATATCCAGTATATTATTACTATTACTATTAACCTTTACCGCCTTGTGAATAACCTTGACTGTTGCAGTGGTTAATAGTTGTTCCATAATATGCTGGATGTATTAATAAACTGAATGATTGATATTCCTTTATCTGTCACAAATTTTCATTCAAATTAGGGTTTCTCGATTGTGGGAAAAAAATCCTAATCTAAATTCAGAAAAGCTTTATGAAACAATGATTTATGTACTGGCAAAAGTTAACAGGGTGTATTCATAATTTATTACTTTTAATTATGTTTCAGAAGCCATTGTGGCACTGTAAATTAGACTTTGCTTTGCTCCAAGGCCAGAGTGTTGATATTATATTCACATTTTCTGTAACTGATGGGAGCAATACAAGCTAACATCATAACTGCAAAATCAAATCCTTATACCTGACTTTTTCTTTATTATTGTTAGTAATTGTAGTATTTACTTATTGCCAAAAATATACCACCACCGCCCAACAGAAGCCCTAATGAATAAACAGTTTGTGATTTCACCTGTTTGTGGACATGATGTTGTGCCTGATCAGTGTAAATGTAAAAACCCCACATTTGAATATATGCACCACTAGTAAGCAAGGGGCAAGGTTAAAGTGTAGTTAAGAGGACCAGCAGGGAGTACCAGAGAAACCATCTTCCCAGCCATGCACTCTATAAAAGCTTCAGAAACTCACACAATGTGGCAAACAGGCTCACAGCCATTTGTACAGACTACAGCTATTTTAACAAGCGCCGCGTGTTAGTTGTAGTGAGCTCTTTTGGGTGGCTTATTATTTTTGTAAGTTGAGACTGACGTACTATGGAACAAGTAAGGCTTTTATACTAACACTATGAAGAAGCAGCAGTCTCTCACCCAGGGAACTACGGGCTTCGTGTGGGTAAGTTTGCCACAAATAACACTTTACATCTGAACATATAAGAACAGCGCAAGAGAATATAGACCAAAAACCAACCAACATTATTAGTAGGAAGGAGCAATCCACATGAGAAATAAGTCTTTTACCCTTGATACAAAAGAACAGTCAGCAAACTTTCACCGTTTAGCTGTCAAGGGATCATTCATGGATGATTTAACAATAGTTTACGGACCAATTTGGGGTGTCAAAACTATTTAGTAATGCACACAGAGTGAGCTATTATGTCAGCTCAAGATTCTAACCTTTAGTTCACCTGTAATAGCCAGCCTCCCACTTTGACTCCACTAAAAACCCTTTAAATACAGTGTAGAGGCTGTAGATGACTCACTGTTCTTGCCATGACGCCTTATATCTATGACCAGACTGCCCTCCTGCAAAGCCTTCTCTATGTGGGTCTTCCAGGACATGTAGCTCATGTCTGCCACCTGGTGTCCATTGACGGTCAGCACCTCGTCTCCAGTCTGAAGCTGGCACATTTCTGCTGGGCTTCCTGTTCAAACACAATGATCAGTTGTTTAGTGGGATCTGCAAAGGATGACTACACTATTAATATGTAAAACTGATATCTGAGTCTATTCAAATCCATGCTTTCACTCTGAATGTTTAAGGTGGGATGCTTAAGTGTGCACATATGCCACATGCTTAGCTCAATAGAAATGTTATTCCTTTGCCTAGAATGTTCCACAGCATGGCTTTACTGCAAGAATGTACTTGTATACATTTTGTGAGGGGCAACAAAACATCTGTAATGAAAAAACAACAACAAAAACAAAAAACTTATGGTACATATACTTGTTTAACGACATATTGTGCAAGCTTACGCAGCCCACCTTTAACATTCAGAGTGAAATGTATGGAATTTTCTAGACTCAGATAACATCCTCAGGAGACAAGCAGGTGGGGAACTCTCAACCAGAAAAATTGCATAATGGACCTCTTATTTTCAACAATGCAATGTTGGTCTAAAGTAAAGTAAAACAGTTTTCTGATTATTATGCTGGTAGAATATATATTTCATTATCATATGCTAAATAAAAAAATGTGTGAAGAATGAGAGACATACCCAGCAGATCTGACCCATATAGAAACTGCCCTACATAGGCCTGGCATCATCACTGCAGTGGTCTGGAAAACCAGCTAACTTGCAGCACAATGTGAAACGTTTACTGAGCCAAGACCCATTCAAACTATTGTACTGGGTCTATGCACACCATTTGAAATAACCTTTACAGAACAACCTATAATATGTTCTTTTGTTCCTATTCAACAGAAGAGTAAGCCTATTTATAAGTGGAGAAAGTGCATAACAGCTACAGAAGTGAAACAAGGATAAACAGATTGGTATTATAGATAAAAAATAAGGAGTAAATGTGATTACCTGGAATAATGGATGTGACTCGGGCACCTGTTGAGTCCCAAGCCGCCTGGAAGCCAAAGTCTCTGCTGCTGTTGGGCTTTTGGTTCAGACTTATCCTCATCTCACAGAAGTCCTCCTAAAGACAGACAGTTCAGATCAAATATTTAGACAAATTAGCTTTCACAGTAGCTACACGTTGGCAATCAAGTTCGTGTTTCGTTCTGTTAGCTGCCAGCAGTCATGCCATGAATGATTAATGCCCCTTTAATACCTCACCTGCTGGTGCTAATTCAATTTCAAGATTAAGATACAATGATTTCCTTAATATAAACAAAACCAAAACAGCTAATTCATAATCATATTGCCTACACTTGTGATGTTCTCAACTATATTTGAGGAATACTTTGTAGACAGACAAATGGATACTTCATTGTACACAATTTTAGTAATCTTACCTGACCTATTAATTCTATCTATGCCACAGGTAATGTGTTAAAACAAATTACTGTTTTTAATTCTTCTTGTTGTAAGATTTGTAAAATGTATGCATTATTACCTTTAACATTCATTGTACTTTTAATTTTTTGTTTATTTCAATGGTATGTATGTTTAATTCATCACTCATTCATGTAGGATCCATAGGAAAATAAAAATGAAACCACTGACAGAATCACATTTTCTTTTGCTATTTTTTTTTTTTGTATTTAGGACACTGACCTGGCTGTTGTCTTTAAATGGAGCAGGGCTAACTGCAGTTTCACTCTTGGGTTCCGCAGGAGCAGGTGATGTGCTTTTCTCTGCGCTGTCCTCCTGGTCGTTGTCTTCCTCGCTGCTGTGGGCAGAACTTGACTGGGCCTCGTCTTCAGAGGTCATGAACTGGTGATAGCGGCTTGGCACTGAGGATTTCTTAGAAGTGTCTCCATTCACAGATTTAATAGAGTCATCCGTCTGCAAAGAACAAAGTGGTTTAGAAATACGTACTGGGAATTTAATAATATTTCATTTTATGTATTGTATAAAGCAGTATCAGAGACAGTAAAATGTATGTTTATGATTATCATTCTATGATTTTTTTTCTCTTTTTTGACACTAAATTAAGTCTTCCTTTCAGTGTCAAGTGTCTATAATAATTCCCTGATAATAGGCATGAGAAATACTTTAATTATGTATAACCAGACAGTACTGAGTTAATTTACTTACATTACATTATCAGACCAACTCATGTGAATCATGCAAAAAATGAGAATGATAGCGATGCTTGTCTTAGAGTTTTCTTGACAATTCTGCACTAACAGATCAGCTGATGTTTGCTAAGACTTATTTACTCATAACTCTGACACTCACTGTATTGGCTCGGGGCAGTGAAAAGAGACGGGTCGATTGGGTTCCGAATGGCTTCGGTGTGACAACTGACGTTAGCCGCGCGCTATCCGATTTCTGGTAGTTCCTGGGCAGGGAGGCAGAAACACGAGACACCACTGGGGGCTTGGGTTCCATTGGGATCTGCTGCTGTGGCTGTATGAACTTCGATTCAACAGAGGGAACCTCAGTTTGGGATCGTAACAATGGGCTCTTTGGCGCCTGCACCTTCGGCTCAGAGTTCAGAAAGGAGGTGGTTGTTGTAGTCTTCACTGTTTCCACTGAGCTAGTTTGGAGTCTGCTTTGCTGTGTAGCTGGTGGAGATGGAGAGCGCTGGTATGAGCTGTAGCTTGTAGATGTGATAGTAGAGGTTATGGTGTCACTGTTCACTGTTTCTTTGGAGGGTGTAGGAGAAGATGCTCGACCAGTAGCTGTGGAAGCTGGTGATGGCTCTTCGTCCATCACAACAGGCTTGGAGTATGAAGAAGAAGCGTAGCGTGGTGTGTCAATAGTGTTGCTCCTGCTGTAAATGGCACGTGACGTTGAAGCTGATTTTTCAAACACGTCCTCGTCATCCATGTACGATAATGATCCCAGTCGACTGCCAAGGCTCCGACGTTTGACCTCTCTGATGACCAGATAAAAAAAGAAAAGGCCATAAGAAAATGTCACTTTGGTGCAGGTTTGAATGGATTTGACAGCCACAAAAGATGGTGGTAAATAAAGATGATGTGAAAATGGGTAAGCAAACTGCACGCACTAGGACTGACAGTGACTTGTACTGAATGGTTTTACAATAAATCAAAAGAACTGTCAAACTTGTTACTTACAGTTTCTTTCAAAAGAGCCATAGATAAAGCATTAAAGTAAAACATAACATACTTTAAGTTTAAAATGCTACAGTAACAGGTATGCTACCCCACATATACTCTGCAGCGGTGATTTACCTGTCCTCTTGCATCTCCTTGAAGGTCTTTGACTTCCTGTTGCTGCCGAGTGTCAGCTCCTCTATCTTCTCACGCTCCTCTTTTTTCCTCACTATATCAGAGTTGACACTTTTGCGCCGAGACTTCCATTTACTTAGATCCTACAAAAAGCAAAACCTGTCAGTCATTCTGTATAGGATTTTATTTTTGTTACAACACAATAAATGAGACAGATAATGATGCATTGCTAAGTAGAGTCTGCGCACAGCGATAAGCAGAGAATAGTGAAAAGGAGAAGAGCACCGAACAGAAGGGCTACTTTTGAAGGTGTTCTATTTGTGTGCTCTAGGCTCCTCCCGGCTCACCTCCCTGGAGAATATGGGTACTGTGTGACCTAAATGCTGCTTCAAGACTTTATTTTTTAGCCTTTGGAAACACAATTATATTTTAGTGACTCTTGACGTAACATAAAAATGTGTCTTTTTATTTAGTCTCTTGTATTTGTGTATTTTTTCTCAAAATATATAAATACATTTGTTGTGATTTTATTGTCTTTGATATCACATACTGTATGTATTTACAGCAAGATTTCAAATATTTTTTTTTGTTTTTAAGGTAAACTATGACTGCTGTCAAAGAAAAAAGGACATTGTCTAACTATTTAGAACCTGCCTCTTTTTTCAGCACTTGACCAAATGCAATTTACAGTGACATTTTGACACTCTTAAAATGATTCAACCAAACCCACTGACATTCAGAAAGTATTGATAAAACATACATCAGGCCAGACTAGACTGACTGAAGGTGCATCTGAGTTTTAAAATGATGCAAAGACAATGCTCTTCCATTAAATGTCATTATTTTTTTTACCTGAATCAAATTAAGGTGCAAACACTTAGCACCCCTGTAGACCAGGCACGGAATAACACCATTAGTTAGATGCATGTGTAGATGCAATACTGAACCTTTTCGCCAGTATTTCTATCAGTTGAGATTGATTTGAAAAGAAAACATACCGATTAACCTGTGCAAAGCGATCTGAAAACACTCTACTCACATCTTGCCACTTATCATCACTCTCCTTGATGTGCTCTCGATATTTCTGTAGCTCCTCATAGCGCATCTGTCTTGCAGCATTCTGGTCCATGACAATATCACTTGTTGATTTGCTCCTACAAAAGAGAAAAGTTAGAAAAATAAACAAGTGAAAGTTATTAAAGTTTAGATTATGCATGCCATTCCACGGTCCAGCTGAAATATGTTATTAAATGTTAGTATGCAAACCAAGCGCAATGAAAACTTTTGTTAATAACAGACATTGTAGTACACCCGGGTTATGGAAAAGAAAAAAAAAACCTTTGTATCCTCACCTCCTCGCAAAATATCACACTTAAATCAGAGGGTTATCACAAGAGCAACATGTGCTTAGAAGTTTGTAGTGAACTTCTCAATCATAACTCCCTGTACTCCAGCCATATGACCCAGTGTACCAGCTGCGTGCATCTTTCCACTGTGTTGCTTTGTCAATAGGGCTTTGTCAAGCAATAAACCTCCCCTTGAACTTGGCCCCGTGCCACACAATACACATTATGTGTCAGCATTTAGCGGCTGGAGGGTGAGAAGAGCAGTGACAAAAGCAAAGGGAGAGAGAGCCACAGAGAGGGTGCAACTGAAAAGGCAGACCTTAATGCAAAAGTGCGAAATTCCTGAGAGGCTATATTAACTCACCCTTCGAGACTGTCCTGTCCTTCGACCTCTCTATAAAATGAAGAAAGAACCACAAACAACAGGGATGAAATAAACTGTACGGGAATCCTAAAAAAGAGAGTTTATGGACCACTTGAAGACTTGAGAGTGCATTACAGCCAAACCCACATGCAGCTTTCAGTTGGCTAAAAGTTTCAGAAACTGCCCGAATTAAATTATAAGAATGGTTTTAACAACTGTTGTTTTTGTTTATAGAAGATACAATATTTTCTTTTCTTAACCACATTCTGTATGATAATGGTCTTTCCATGATTTTTAGGCAGACTAAAACTTGTAAATGCTTTTTCCAATCAGACAGAAGCCCTAACATCTCACAAAGGTAATAAATATATGTGTTGTATTTCATAATCTTTGGTCTCTCTTTCTGTCTGTATATTTTAACCTACACTTGGAGAATATGCAGTAGCATAAAGTATACTATAGCTTACTTGTTAAGTTTCCTTGCTGTAGACATGTATGTTTCAATAAACAATGCTGCCTTTATAGAGAATGACTGATGTCATTGGAAACGTGGCTTTACATGTGGAAAAGTCAAAGTAAGTCCAGATGGCCCAGACTCAGGTTAAATGGCAGCTTTGTGTGCTGCTGTGGCTGCTAGTGCATGTACAAACACCAGGGTACGGATTTGTGTTCATGTTACTATGGATACGCATCTTCTTTTACAGCAATGGGGAATTTCTATGGGACCTCATGGCATCATCTCCAGACAGGAGTACAGTGTTTGAAATGGCATGTTCATTAGTCACATTGTTCAATACTGTAATGCTGCTGCACTTGGAGTATCACATGTAAGTGTGAAGTTATTTCTCTGTAACATTTGACAATGACCTAATCCTCATAAAGCCTATAAAGAAGCACTAAATCATTTAGCAGATTACAACAAATTTAAGAGCAATTTTGTTTATTAATATTTTATATCAGCTTAAGGCAACCAAATGTATACTGTGCATTTATTTGTAACATTACGTTCCCTTCTCATTATTACTTTGTTCATAAACCAAACTTTAAACACACATTGCATTATCATGAATACTGTAAATTCCAGTGTCATTGTTCAAAAACTAGCTTATCTTTACTGACAGATTTATTTTCATATATTCTTGTCATATATTTTTGTCATATATTAATAACTTAACATAACTTCATTCTTCTTAAATATAGTTTGTTGGTAAAATACAGAAAAGAAAATACAACAAATCCACAATACAGTCATTCTATTGGACAAGTCTGAATGATTCATTTGGCACCACCTCTCCCATTGTAACACAACAAGCAGGACAATCGTTGTCTCCAACAAAAATATAACACATCATCCAATCTTTGTAATGGAAAAGTACCAATGTCCACAGACGTAAAATCTGTTCCCGTCCAGTCAAGTCTATCTATGTCCTTAATGCAGCCAGTCTTTCCAGCAAAAGCTTCTTCCTGTGTTTAAGCTGACTGGCTTCTCTGATAGTCTGCCATTTTTGCAAATCCTCCTCACTACAGGTCGAAGGCACTGATGGACCCTTTTGATTGGTCAAAGCAACTCTATTGCACACCTCCAGCTTGCGAACCAGCATATCATCCGTATCAGGGCGCATCTCTTTATCAAGTTTATTTGCTTTATTGTGTTCTATTTCCTGGGTTAAAGGGCATGGAGGGCAAAGGAGTTTGGCTTTTAATTCAGGAGGTAGAGTCCAAGGTTCTGGGATAGGCATGGGGCTGTAGTTATCTGGGGCACCGGATAGGGGGCGCTGCTCGTGGGATGTTTTTTCCTTACGATAAACCACATCATCTTCTTCTATGTCAGGGAAGACCTCCTCCTCCCCCTCCTCTGTGCTGTTGCGGTCAAGCTTTCGAGTTATAATATTTAGCTGGGGTTCTGATGAGTAGCGTGGAGGCCTGATGGGTAATTTCAACATTGCCAGATCTGTGTTAGACTGAAAAGCAAGGGTCCTTCTGGCAAACATGTCATCATTCTCCAAGTCAGGGTATAAGCTGTCATAGTCCAACTGGTCAGGAGGCTCTCGGGGGTCTTGGCGCCCATAGAGGGGCCATCTCTCACATTTGACCAACTTGGGACCTGAGGTGGGGTCCACAGGGGGAAACACTAAAGGAGGTGGCTCTAACACAGGGGATTGTATCACAGGAAGTTGTAGTGGTGGGGAGTTGGGTTCAATATAGGAACTGCAGGTTGGCAAAAGGGAGAGAAAAGGACAGAGAGAGTAGAGATGAGTGCATGCTTGTGAACTTGATGACAGAGCAAGAAAAATAGATTGAGACATGTAGCAGGTAAACAATTTGATTCAAATAAATTGATCAAATCTTGAAATTCCTGAACTACAAAATATAAATCATCATTATAAAGGCTAGAAAGCAGCTTATTTCAGAGATCAACTAAATGTGAGTACAGCTTGTTAAGACTTCAGCAGTATAACAGTATATAGTCCTTAATAAAGCAGCAGGTTGGAATCTCCACATCAGTTAGAAGTGTAGACAGGGTTAGTAGTATGTTCCCTCAGTGTCACAGTCATGCAGCTGTATCGACCTTTTCCCCACAACCAGGGTGGGGTGAGCTGCAGAGGGCCTATCTGAGAGGGACTGAGAAGGACCAGAGGAGGAGCGCCCCGAGGAGAGCCACGGACTGATGTCGCAGTCCGAATCATCTGAAGACGAGTCTGATTTCTTGTAGCTAAACAACCAGAAGACACCATGAACAGGACAGATGACAGATAGGTGGAAAAAGAAAAGGAGGAATTTATGAGAAAATGCACCATTCATTTAGATTTAAGATGATGTTAATGGCATGCAGTGATTCTAAAAGTATAGCAAGATACAGTATTCAGCTGTTATGGAGACATTTACTTTAACTAATGTTGCAGTAATGTGATTATGTGTACTTCCATGTCATGCCCATTCCTCACACACCTGAGTCCTTGCATCTTCTTGTACCAGGGTCTTTTCTGTGAGCCCAGTTTTATTTTCTGAATGTGGATGTCCTCTTCAGGTGTCCAAAATTTGGGTAGGAATTTGTCATGGGACAAAGCTGGAGGCTGGGGTTTGGTGCCTATCTTGCGGGCGTACAGATCATCTTGAACAGGGTCAGCGTGGCCCACCTCATCATCTGAGTCCTCTGAGTCATCATAGTCCCTGAACAGACTGTCAGTTGACACGCCAGTGTGGTGGTCCACCCTCACAGAGCGCTGGGGGGAGTGTGTTTGTCCACAGTCATAGGCACCAGTTGTACTGCTCAAAAGAGACAGCCAACCAAACATGTCACAGCAGCATTTAGAAAGCACAGCACACCAATCACACAAACAGCAGGCTTTTCTCAGCCAGTCACAACTCATGTGAGATGATGCAGGATGAGTGAACCATTGCAAGCTGTAAAACCAAACTTTGAGGCAAATTTTTATCTGTTATGCTCATAGCTTGACCCTGCAAGCCTAGAAACTGAGGAGCATTGCAACTGAAAATCCACATCAATCGCAGAAAGAAACCAGACAGATTGCTAAGTTAGAAAGAGCATAATCGAGTCATACTGCATAAGGTTATGGCTGATGTAAACTTAAACAAGCACTGTCTCATGAGGCAAGCATGCCATATTCACTCTGGAGCTGCTCTGACCTGAGGCAGGCCACATTCTGCTGTGGGACAAAGCCAGGATTCAGATTGACTTGGGGCCATGGCCCCCTCCTAGCCTCAGATGACTTGGTGCCTGCCAGAGGGCTCATGGGCATTGCGAAGTTTGTGGGAGTGGAGGGGGTGGGGCTGTGGAAGCGTCTGCTGGCCAGATCATCCAGGACCAGGTCAGGGTCAGGGCGGTCCAGGTCAGAATCACTGCCACTGTCATCATAAGAACAGAACTGCCCTGCTGCAGGCACCGGGGACCCTCTACTGACATAACAGTCAGATGAGAGCCTCAACAATAACAGCAGAAACCCAGCACAAAAGTAAATGACCAGCACCACAAATACCAGTGATGGAAGAGGAAAGAATAAACAGTACTTTCTTAATATAGTTAAGACAATTCTAAATACACTCTATCAAAACATATGTGTAATTTCTGTATGTGTGTGTTTATACCTGATGATAGGTACTTCCTCTTCTGAGTAGGGGCTTGTCAGGCTGCGGCGACTATCGTCATTGCGCTCTGCTCGTTTTTTCCTCAGTGGAGCTGGCACATAGCCTGTACTCTTGTCCTTGGAGGGCAGAAACTGGTTAAACTGTGTGGTGGTCTTAGGCGCGATCACAGCTGAACGCCGGTAAGTCAAGTTATCCTTGTCAGCCATCCTGAAGGCTGGCTCTGGCTCAGTGTCACTGCAAAACCCTGCAACATGAAAGAAGGGTGTGAGAAACATAAACAATGACATAACATGTTGATAAAGGTGCTACTTAAGTACACTAATCCAGGCATGCCAAAACAACAGACCTTTGTTTTACATAGGCAATGTCTCATAGTCTGTCCTTAAAAAAATCAGGAAGTTTTATTACCAATTTTATAATGAAACTAAAGCTTTATTTTTACTGAAAATAACAGTGTTCCAATGGACACCACTAGATGGCATTAGATATTTGTTTTCTCATATGGGAGTCAGATTACTGGCTCAGATCTTTCACATCTTGCCTGTTCCCAAATATTTTAAGTTTGAGGTAAATGAACTGTAGAGAAATATTTTGGGAAGAATGTAACACTTTGACGTCTATGGAACTCAGTTTAACAAGAGCCAGTAGCAATTGTTCTGAATAAGTTTAATGTAATACAATAACATTTCCTACCCTCACTGCTGCCTTTGATATCCGATGAGATACTGTGCGGTCGAGATCCCAGAGAGTCTAAACTGTCCAGGGAGTCGTCTCTCCTGTGCCCCCCTCCTCCACTTCGAAAATGATGTAGGTCTTCTTGTTCTGAGTACCAGCTGTCTCCAAAACCACTGTCTCGCAATATGCTGTTGTCTTTTTGGGGAGTGGATGGCGACTCGTGCAGAGCCTTCATGGACAAAAACACAGAAAGTTATACAAGAGTTAGCATGGACCTCCCAGGTTAAGTGACCTCTTATTTACCCTTTACAATATAATGAAATGTTTCTCTGTTTACAAAGAGTGTCTTGTGTGTCAAACATGTAGTGCTATAATGTACAGTATTTTCCTATAATGACAGTCTTTATGTAACCCTTGGAGAGACATTGACAAGCTAAAACATGTTAGTAGTGACAAAACAAAACTATTTTAGATCTTTAAATCTCTTAAAATTACATCAGACAATGCAGCTGTAGCCCTAGCCTTATCAAGCTTAACTTAACATGGACTAATACTATCATCACATTGGCTAAATTAAAGGGAGCGGCAAGGACACAGCGCATATAAATCTAAATGGGAGTGAGGTGTCACATTCAACAGAGATGTGCGCATGAAGAAGCACAACCTCTATTTACACTAAACTGGGTGCACTGTATGGGACTGCAAACAAGATTAAAATAGTTGAGTCAGGGGATTAGGTCATTTATGATTTAACATAGCTTTGGTTTAGTGGCCAGCATTCAGAGGTCCTTTGCTTATTATGGTCATTCTGTCTTTCTTTCTCCACATACCATAGAGAATATAAATATGCAAAGAGGGCAATAAAGATTGAAATTGTGCTTCCTATGGTCTCAAAATGCAATATGCAAATGCAAAAGCTCTCAATGCCATTTACCTTGTACAATGCTGTGCCCAGCAATCCCTCAAATGCCTTCAAGTTTAAGTAAGGTCCATTATACACAGGGTCACACTGAGCCCTTCTTCCCAGCCAGTAAAGGGTGATCAGCACCTACAGAAGAAATTGAAAAAAAAAAAAAAAAAGAAAAGACATACACTTCATAATTAAGACAATATATTCAATTATATGTTTTTTATACATTATGACTTTAAATGTTTTAAATTTTTTGACAGTGAAATAAAATTTGCCAGGTTTAAGACTAAATAGTTGACAAAAAAATTGATAGAAGACCAACTTTGTAAAATATTATATAGAGGTACATAGTAAAAGCTTCTTGCCAATAAAAGAATATACAGTATATACATCATGCTGTTCAATTGTCAGCTTAAATGAACAAACATTAGTCCAATATATTAATGCTGAGAATACATTTATAATTTGAATGACAAATGAATTCAAATTCAAAACACTCACATTTTTCAGTCTGCGGCTGGTCTCCTCGGCTCTGTAAGGCAGAGAGCAGAAAGCTGTGGTGAGTGTGAGAGAAAATGACAATAAAAGAACAGAGGGCATGCTTGTTTGGAACGGTGTGTTTGTGAAAGAGCTGGAAACGCACAGCACAATCCTGACCACTGGCAACTGCTCGCTCCACTCACTCTCACACAAATAACCTCACTCAAAAACAAATAAAGCCAAAGTGTGGGAATGCTACTACAGCAGTCATTTATCATTTACACTAAACTGTTCTAGAATTAGTACTATTGAATACAATGGAACCATTGTATCTAATTTGTTTATGCAAAGGCTAAGGGAATACATTTTTGTGGTGAAGTAAAGTTGTTGTGGTGTGATTCCATCAAAATTCATTATTTTATTCCTCTGGTTATTAACATTAACTTGTTAGCCAATGGCATGGGTGGACCAAGGTTACTGTATACTTTATTGTCGTCCATTGAGCAATTTTTCATCTGCATTTGACCCATTCACCAATGCCACTAGGGTAATCCTTCAAGAGCAGAGGGCACCACAGTGCAGGGCACAGGGACCCACCTCCAGATGTTTAGCTAGGCTTGGTCAGTACTAACTTGGAATGCTGAAGGGTTTTACTTATTGTGCATGTTTGCTTCCAACATCATCTTTATTTATCCAGATTTTGGGACTTGCACAGGATTTACATACAGGCTTAACTTTGTACAAGTAAATATAAATGACTGAAATGTTACTGTACAACAACAACCTAAAAATATATACACTTATTCTTGGTTTATGTACTGAGGCATTTTTGCAGCACCTTTGACCCCAGCAGTCTATAAATCACTTTTACCTGGTTTGTCTTTCTGATGGGGAAAAAAAAAAAAAAAAAAAAAAAAAAACACACCCTGAGCATAGTGTACCGTCTAAGTACTTGGTATTTTTAAAGGGGCTGTAAAATGTGATAAGTATAATATAGGATGTAAGCACAACAGTGACAGTGAGAGAAATATGAGCCTTTTCACATGGCATTGATGCATGCTAGACATTCCGGCTCTCATGCGGTAACACAAGTACAACATATGTAACAACAGCCACATGCTATGTCACCAATGCACTAGCTAAGGGTCTTAAGATGACAACAATATGACTGATTTATGTTGTACCAGTGTTAGGGCTCCAAGAAAATGTACAAATGCTCATTACAATGTATAATGGGGTGTGCAAAGGTATGAATATATTGTGATACTAAATTGCTGATCCAGTATTGTTATCATGGGTTGCTATGGTTATATTTTAGTATTTTATAGCAATTTTTTTGTTGCTTGCTTAATGAAAGGAAACTTGTTTATGCAATATACTGTTCACTGTTTTGATGATTAAAATAAATGTATTTCATAATAACTTTGCTTAAGTAGTGGTGTAACAAAGAAAAAGTATTGTTAAAATGTATTTGGTTCTTAGTGTATCTTAGAGTATCATGTACAATATATATATTTTTGCATGTATCCCTGCATCGTGAGAGCCCTAATGTATAATGTGATGATAAGTATTAAGTACTATAAATGCTATTAAGTAACAAGGCAGTGTAAATATTAAGCCCGCAAAATGCAACATTCTTTAATTTGATTTAAGACTCCGCAGTCTTTGATAAAGTATATTTTTGTATTTCTTTTAGATGGATGGTTAACATACCAGTGTATCCTGGCCCAATCCCAAGCCCAAATAAATGAAGATGGAGCCAAAAGCATATCACAGAAAAAGAATGCATGCCAAACAAATATGCAAATTCACAGTAGGCAGGGAGCTATTAGAGAAAGAGAAGGGAATCTTTTTTTTAGTTGAAGAACCAAAGCATCATTGGAATGTGTTTTGTTATTCCAACGCATTGACTGCATTTGTTTATTGATAAAATGAAACATACTCTGTAATCCTTATCAACACAGAGTCAAATAACATAGAAAAATAGCTCTCCAAAAGGCACAGTACTAATGATGGAAACTCAAATCGACATTTACCAACTTGGCATCACAAATTTATGGGCTCCATAAAAGAGGCGGGAGAAATATCTTGTGTGGCTTGGAGCTGAAGATTATAGCAGTGGTAACTTTAAAAAGGTCCAAAGAATTACCACAGCCGCTCCCATAACACTCATTTATTTCAGTTGCACTAGATGAATAGGAGAGCAGATAAAAGCCCTATTTGCTGCCTTGGGACTACAGGGACGCTATGTTAAATCAGCTGAGTTCCCTTATGATTATGTGTCATGACAGGTCTAAGACAAATTATCAAATCATCACGCTGAACTACAAAGTGGATTTCATATATAAAGAAAGACATTGTTTCTCAAGTGATGACCGATGATGAAGGAAGCATTTGATCCAAGCTAGCCTTGCCTTGACAAATTAGCAGGTTGCTCTCATCACACTGACAAATGATTTCACCCATACAACCTCGACTCAACCTCAAATTATTGTCTGTACCAAACAAACATTAACACTTACGCAATATTATAAACAGTGTATACAGCCTTAAATATAGTAGCATTACAGTGGCTTAAAGTATTTTCTATTGAGTCTGCAGTGATGGTTGGGTGTCTTTGTCAAGACACTGTCGACTGGAGCATCAAGAACAATTATTCAAACCTAGCCTGTAATAACATTGTGCCACCTTTGTACACTTAAGACAATGACATGAATTAAAAAAACAAAGCCTTGAAATGAATGGGTGTGTTTCAAAATGTAAGCCATGCATACCTCTTCAGTGATGTCTACTTGCCTGGGTACATTTTCCCACATAGGATATCCTTTAAAAGTATTCTCTCATTAAACGCGCCACACACCCAGGCGCCTCCAGATACCAGTTTGGTTGTGTGCGTGAAAAGGATTGGCCTGGCATCATTGTGTCATAATATTAGAGACAGTGCGACCTCTGTGGACACAGGGTGAGGCTGGTGCTTCTCTTTCTCCCCACCAGCGAAACAACTATAGAACTTGTGTTGTCTATACAGAGCCATTCAATGTTATTACACATGTGACAGAACAGCACATGCAATAGGTTTTATTCATTAAAATCAGCTGATTAGTAGGAAAGATTCAGTTGCTTACACCAGTTCCACTACAGTTTCTATTACGCTACTAAACTTTTTTAGTATTTTACTAGTAACATGAAATATAAATTAAATATAGAATGTACAGACTTCTTTCCCATTCTGTCATGGGTTTTAATAGGTTCAGTTTCTTTTGGTGGATCTAAATGATTTGGATATAAAAAAAGAAAAGAAAAGAAAGACACCTACGCCAAAATAAGCAAAATACTGAAAGTGATTGGACTTTACATTCTTTAAACCACACCTTGAAGCTTACAAATATGTGGCACTTTTACGTGTACTACTGGTGTGTCCTCTTAAATGTTTCAAGCTGTTCTGGGTGTCAAATATTATATAACTATAATTATATGGTTATTGCTCCCTCTCTATCAATAGTCCTTTGATGGTCCTTCACATTCCTCATGTTTTAAGAGGCGTGAGCACTTTCTCTTTTCCAGTTTGGACAGCACTTGCCTTCGTCAATAATTTGCTTAATCAAATGAGAGAGACTTTGAACCCCTCTCAGCAGGGGACATGTCTCAATAGGTAGAGGCTTAGCTAATAGAGGTTAATAAATTATCAATAAAATGTGTATTCACATTGACACCGAATGCTTTTCCTAACAGCTGATACAGAAATATATTAAATTTATTTTCTACTGTGACCTGCTGCACCTCTCTCAGGTGCACAGGTCATAATACAGCAAAGCTCTAAATGTATGTAGGGACCAGAAAGACACAGGGTATAGGACATAAATGGTTTCAAAGCTAAAGAGTACATATATTTGTGAGACACTGTACAGATGTCGTACTTAAGTAGCTACATTACAGGAGTGGGCAAAAAGGAGTCATGTGTCTCAGCCAGTGACAGTAATGCCACTCCAAAGCAGCTGACACAATCTAAAACAATGTATTATATAATAATACTCTATTGTGTACATAGGATTATGGGTTCAGCAGTCAGTGTGGTGGCCAACTATGCTTTGAGGCACTGATAAATTGGAGATGGAGTTTTATACTTAGCGGTCAAGTGTAAATATTGACTGTCATCAGGAGACTGCCAGTGTGTCCATATGGCACTGAAGAGGTCCAGAGGAAGTGATTTCAAATGTTAATGGCACAGTTTAAAATGTCGTGACTCATTTAGAGCCCTCTATTTCCTTGGCAGCTGCTCTGAGCTTGATCAGTCCAAAGTATTTAAAGATGATTCAGATTCTTTTAGTTTGGTTTCACCTACAACAATTAGAGATTCTTATCAGTCTTACAGCAGTTTGTCATGCACTGTGATGATTTTGATGTACGATTTATTTGGCACTGATAAGATATTTATATGAAATGCGATTTCACAAGAGAAGGAAGGACAATGTTTTCAGATGGTGAGTCTATTACTGCAAAGCTCAAAGGTCAGTACAGATGTCCAATAACCTTTTATGGCTTTCCTGGATACACACAACAGACACATTTAGTGTTCATATTTTCAACATTATATTTCCAGAAAATGCTTTACAAATCTTGAATGAAGTGAAAGTGTCAGTACTGGTTATGGTGGTTCTGAGGAAATGTGTTTCCTAAATGTGTTTAGCTTTAACTTAATCTTTGTATCAAAGCTTTGTTTTTAGAGGTGGAAACAAAAGTAGAGCAGAACATATTAATATACAAGGAAGATTGTATAGACTACAACTTCACAGCACACACAAGCACATAGCTGAAACAGAACACAGAAGAGCTGAGCACAGCACCTGTCAGACAGGGTTTAAGGGAGTGGAGCCTGGACACACACCAGGGGCAAAGACAGCTGATAGACAACTTTCTCTAGCTCTGTTTTACTCTGAAACTCATTTGCCTATAGCTCTGAGCTGCAGCAGAATAAACTAGGCATTGGTCATTGGTTTTTCCTATAGGTAAAAAGTTTCCAGCCAACTTAAATATTTGAAAAAACTACAACTACAAAAAAACTACAAATCCCAAAAAAATAATCCTTGACAGGGTTGGGTTAAGGTCATGCACATACAGATGCAGAGCTGAAAAACACATGTCACTAATAAAAGAACTCCTAATGTTAGTCCTGATCCTGGGCCAGCCAACGTGATCCCTGTAAGGCTAAAAATAAGAAAAAGGAACGACCCCTTCTGACCAAACTGCTGCACACAGGCGCCTATGTATAGAGTATAGATAGTTAGATGCATTAGATCATAGATTAAAATTTAACATGAAATTAATCTTGATACTGATTCATAGATAAATAGATTTGCATATTTTAAATACCAATTATCTGATTTTCAAATGAACCTGTATCAGCTACAAAACTGATAACAATATTGTGTAAAGAGATATAACTGATTATGCATTATAAAAAGGACAATCTTCAAATTTATGACAGTGATTCAGCCATTTTGTGAACGCTGTATCACAGAGCAATAGAAGGCTAGAAGAGAGAGTTTCATAACAATAGATTTGTTTAAATTGGTTTCATGTTCCAGTAAATGTACATGACAGACATTAGATGTGTATAGGTGTGTTTGAGGCATAGGCTATACTGTTTGCGCTTGTAGCAGAAAAGAAGCTCTTAGATCATGGAAAAAATATGACAACAAATTATAAGATTTCTTTCCAAATTTGCCAGCAGTAATTTAATAACTACACATTCATTAATAACGTATGCAGGGATAGCAATACTACATTTTAAATAGTATCTGTCTTTTATATATTCATAAAGTTTTTATGTTTTATCAGGCTTTTTTATTCCAGGTCTAATGCCACAGAGCATTATAATAGTGCCCTGGGCTGTACCTGCAGGAAGTACACCTGTCTAAAACCGAACAGGTCATTCAACATACCACGTGTACTTTGCTGCCTTAGGAACAAACAAAAACGAAACATTATATTATGCTTACGGTGTCTTATTTTTAATCACTAAGATTTGACATGTGTCTATAATGATTTAAAACACCCTGGAGAAACAATCAAAACATGTAACATCCTGTAGCCCCAAATCCTGGTGACGTGCAGGTTTTTGGTGTGACAGTATTTGTTGTTCTTGGATCATAAATAGATTATGCAGCTTGTAAACAGGTGCTTACACACACACACAGAACTTGAAATAGCCCTGACCTTTTCCTTTTACCTCATGGTCAGCTTTCCTCACATGGGGGAACATGTGTCTACTACATACTATATGTATAATGTCAAAGTACATCAATGCATTACAGTCCATTAACAAATTCACAATTGGGTACCGGTGAGGAACCTGAAGCACTCCTGTATGTGTAAATGACTGTGAAGCTATAAGGCTGTGGACTTACTTGACAGTAACTCTTGTAGATAGGTCCTGCAGATCACCGGGATGAAAGAGTTGTGCTTCTTTTAGTCCAAGTTTGCCGCAGGCTCTGAGGAAGACGTTCAGGTTATCCTGTACAGAAATCAGAAAAAGGATGAGGGCTGCTGGACTTTAGAGGAATGAAATAATAATCACTCTTCAATTCCCTGACAGGAACATAGCCCTCAAGTCATTGCTTTCAAAGTTCATATCACCCGAGCACAGGGACGGACAGGGAGGAGCTGTGTGCAGCAAATAAAGAGCTACCAAGGGCTGAACACACACAAACACACATGTGGGGGGTGTGGGAGGGCCAGGCTGACAGACAGCAGCAGGACTACCTGTGGGCAGGGCTATGGTGGGGACAAAGTTAAAACCAGGAAGGATGACATCACAGCCCTGCAATAAGTCCTGCCTCAAAGAGCATGCGACGCATGCGAGAATAACACAAGAGCACACTGCCAGTCTGCCTACTGCAGACTCTTTCTTATCACACCCTGAAACTGTCCCCTCCCTACTGCCAAGCCCTTTACTCGAGAATACCTGTGGAATCTATGGGGTGGTGAAGTATTTTGGAGACATTTGGTTGCTATGAAACATGAGGTCTGGTGACAGAAGTGGACAAATATTTCCCTGAAGCAACCTTATGAAGAGGGAGGTGTGGAGGGACAACTTAACCTCATGAATGTCAATCATTAAATATTGTATAAATTCTGTTATTGAGTTAATATTCAAATTGAGAAACCATGTGAGTCACAAAGCAAAAACACATATCTTAAGAAATCTACCATACAATGCACAGAGCCAGTAGAGTTATGAGTTTTCAGATGTAATCTCTTATTTGTAAGGCTTCATTTCCCACAAGATTAGCCTGCTCAAAAGTCTCTCATTTAATGACACATGGTTTAACGTGGACTACCATGATTAAGGGGTAAGCTCGCTCTATATTTAAATTCCCTACATGCTTATTAGCAAATAGTATGGGGGTGACGACCTCTCTGTACAGGTTCCCTGCAGCTAACGGCTCTGCGTGCCCATAAACAGAGCTTTAGACTGCCCTGAGGCCCCCCGCGGGTTAAAGTTCAATCCCATTTTTGTTACAAGCAGATTTTCTCCAATATGTCCTGCATTACAATATGTTCCCCAAATCTCTGCTATGGTTATTGTCCCACAAATGTAAAATCAGTCAATTAATGAAGCACCATAAAATAAACTCTAAATATATATAAATATTTTTTAAAAATCTAAGACCCAACCTTTTTTGTCCCTGATGTTGATACCACATGCTATACCTTGCAACATCATGCAATAAACTAATTATCAAGATAGTATTATTACTAACTTGATAATAGATGTGATCATTATAATGTACAGAAGTGTAAATGCAAATAAATAAAATAAATTTTGTTTAATGCAATGGGTTAATTCATTCACTATGTATAACCTTCCTAAATTGCATTTATATTCTTTGTTACCACAAATAAAGTGATAATAATTAGATCATAATGTATTATAGAGAAAAAAAATCTGTGCTGCATTTTGTGTGACAATGTGTATTCTGCACACATAACATAAAGAGATAATACTGTTGATGCTTTCTGTCATTATAATCTGGGAAAATATGCTGTGCTCCTCCATTAGCTTCTTATCCTGTCATAAACATTGAAGACCCCAACTTTACTTCAAGACTTCAAGAACAGAAAGGTGTCTCTTAGGACTGCCTGTCATGGTCCAACAAGCTCATTTTTCCACATGGTTGCACTGTGGCCTCTCTATTTCAGTCACCATGTTCTAAATGGTACATTACAATTACCCCAAAGTGACCCTGGCCAGTGTCTAAAACAGAAAGAAAAGCCATAGTTAAAATATCTTGCAACGCACTCAAAATCCTCAAGGAATAGATTTTTCAGATTAAGTTGAGATTAAGCCTTGGCTGAAAAGTTTCACATTATGTCATAAAACTTATCAACTTCCTAAAACCATGTATTCTTATTGTGTGCACCTCTCCAAAGATCTGACAAGTGCTATGACCTGATGATATTTCCTGGAGTTTTCAGAGATGTAGTTTAGAAAATGTCAAATCCAGTGATAACATGCTCTCAAAAATGCAAAAAATTGGGGCCATGGACCTGGGGCCATGAAAATGTTGATCTAGTCCTACAAATACCTCAGAGAAGTTGGTGCTGTGGGAACACACAGAACTGTGTCAATTACAGTGTTTTTACAGTGCAGTCATCATTAAGTCTGGCTCTTGTGTGTCAGGCCTAAAATCAGGGCAGATGTTGATGTATCTAACCTGATCCCACTTGTGTGCAGTGAGTGTACCCCACAATCAGATGTCATCAGATGGCAGAGGAGTGTGCGGTCCTCATGGGAAACATAGCTGTGGACACGAAGGAAACCGGAGAACAGACACACCAGTGCAGCCAGCGTTGCAAAATATTCCACAAAAACAAAACTGCCCACTTTCACCATCTCTTGTATATACACAGCTTGCACTTGAGACGAATGTCAAGAGTAAACAACTCGTATTTCTTATTTATTTATTAATTTTTTTTACAAATCTTAAAAATTATTTCTTAGCCATCCAATTATGTGCATTTATACCGATGTATTTTCACAACAGTCACAACAATTATAACTGAATAAATGTTAAATGTTTATACCATGGAACATTAGTCAAAGCAATAACATCTCTATGGAAAATCATTAGGCAAATCAAAGCAAACAGAACTGCAAATGATATGGTAAACACGTATAGAGCTTTATATTGCCAAAAAATGCCGATATATTGTTGTTTGCATTGTGAAATATTGTAGCATGTAATACCATGCTATCAATGGGGCGATTCCAAATGGGGCGAATCCTAATAGGGTGAGAGTGCAGGGTAGGTTTGTCCCTTTAAAGTGCCCATATTACGTATTTTTTGCTGACAGGGGCGGACTGGGACCAAAAAACGGCCCTGAAGTTCCCCCCCACCATTTGGCCCACATTGTCATGGGGTAATACAAGAGGTGCTCCACTGTGTTTTTAAACTCCATACACCCTCACTAGAATCATTTGCATGTTTTCAATCCTAGAATTGCCAATCTCTACTGAACAAAAGGTAACTGCTAACTTGAAAACTACCACTTCATGACATCACAAGGTGTAACAGAGCATTTTGAGCTTTGGAGATGTAGACAGAGTAATAATGCAGGATTACGTTTTTGATGAGGTAACAACATTATAACATGACTAAAAGCTCACAAGAGCCAATTTCGTGTAATATGGGACCTTTAACCACAAACTTCACAAACAAATACCCTTAACTCTTTGTATATTTCTCCCACATACTCTGTGACAATTACAACCCATGAGGGCATTTTCCCACATTTTTCTGCACCAAAGCCAATAACACATCTGATGCAAAGGTTATTTCACAGTATGAGGTGGAGGCCCTCTTGAAGACTAAACGTGACACTATTTACAGGGAAAAAAGAGCCCAAACAATGTTAACAAGCCTACCTGATTACTATAGGAGGATGATTATGCTTGCAGTGGGGAGAGTGTGAGTAATGTTTGTTTGGAGTACTTTTCTCTGTGCGGTTGGCAGTAACTGATAGCTAGAGGCCAACCGGGAGCTTTCACATTTGCTGGAGAATTCATGATGGAGAGGTTTAAAGTCTGGAAGTAACACACCAGTGCTACTGATGTAAGAGATACTTGAGCTCATTATCTCCGCAGGTGCCCCAGACAGTCATGCTAGTCATTATTCCAATACAAACACGGAGGAATTTTGTATTTGTTGTTTACATAGCCTATGTTAAAGTGCCAGTCTGTCTCAAGATCGCTCAAATTGTCTTCTTGCAAAACATTGTAAGTACTTAAGCCTATCCATGGGTTTTGCTTAACTAGACAGACTAGACATTCAATTATACAAGAGTGCTTTGTGAGAGATGAGTTAAAGTGGATATTTCAACCTTCTATCTTAACTGGGCAAAACCCAAGATAAAGCTTCCTATTATGATTTTCATGTATTTGTTTAGTTGCAATTATTATAACTATTGCTACCACTAGTGGAAGTAGCAGCAATTACTACATTTTACTGGCAAATACAGCATCAACAAATACTTAAAGGTGCACTATGTAACTTTTCTGTCCAGCACCTAGTGGTTTCCATGGAGATATGCTAAGGAGAATGCTTACAAATACTGCAAACAGTATGGCAGTAAACATGCTTATTATTTAATTATAGGTGTTTTTAACAATAAAACAATACCTTGTATTCTAATATGCATTCTACACCTCTCCTCAAATCAGACCTGTAAATTGGCTTGGTGCTTATTGCCTTGCCATGCAAATAGATAAGTTTAATATCATACTGTAAAAACCTTCCAGGCAAAGCAACAACATCTCCATGGAGACATACCCTCCGTCCAGAAAGTTACATAGTGAGTCAGACATAAAGAGAACTTGGGACGACATGGCTGGGCATCTTGCCTTGTGCACCCTTGTGATGGAAAAAGTTTATCTTCCTCTATCTAACTGACTAAAACTCCCAGACAAATTTGTCCTGTCACTACAACATTTTCCTCTGACTTCAAAGTGTCATATTTTGGGAGCACTCACATGTGGTGAGTGGCCTTTCAAGTTGCTCTATGTCCACTGAACCTATTAGTGTAGATGAATATAAGCAGTGACAAGAGGCAGAGGAGAAGACCTTTATGTCATTGAGAGTTCAACCACAGCAGTCTCAGAGTCAGCAGCAATTGCTTAAACTATAGCACAGCTTCTCAGTACATGGACTAACAAGTACTTAACTGAACTCCTACTGTTAGAAATAGCATTATTAAGTTTTTCAGTACACATTCACTTACATCAAATTGATTTTGATACTAAAAGGAGACATGGTACCAATTGTCATAAACCAATGGCAGCAAAAATAATAGGCAAGAGAATTACAACAACATAAAAATGTTGGTAGTTTGTTTAATGTTACCATGTGGTCTATATTGGTTCTAAGATAGATCAAGACAATTGTAAAATTAGAAAGTCAAATTTTGTCCTATTAATGTTATTTGTTTCAGTACTAATATTGCTCAAATGAGTATCTAGTTTTGACACTAGTTTTAGTCACTAGTGTTATGATAATTATTAATATACCACTCTTACTATTGCTAATACATATTACTACTAGCTGCTGCTACTACTACTTAATATGTACAGTAAAATATGTACCTAATCTTATAGTTTACTTTAAAAATGTATGTATTACTATTATTATTTTAATATTTAATAACAATAAATGTAAAGTACAAAGGACAGAAGTATATTGGAAAAACTTACCAGTCCAGCGATAGGTGTGGGCAGCCTGTTCACCCTCCTGATGGTCCCTGGTTTGATGCTGTTGATCAGACTGTAAAAAAGCAGCATGCAAGTGAAAACTGTGAGACATTGGTTAGACTTGTTCCTCTGTTGAGGACTGGACAAAATAAGGGTCAATGTGTGTGTTGTGTGTTTAGGACTTTGTTTAATGGCAGCCACCTGGCTTCAGTTTAGTAAATGGCCACTTCTGCACCCCCATGTAAATACACATCATCTCCTACACTTTCCCATTGAAGCCAGTCACAAGCCAGTCAGAAACCTGGTCAAAAAGGGTAATAGATTTGGATGCTACCATAAAAGGTGAAAGTCTTATAGTCTGCTATTGCTATAATTTAAACTGTTTCAACAATTACAGCCTATTACGCAAGAAAAACCGTAACCACAAAACAATATTACCTTTATATCTAATAATACAACAGGGTTACTAGCAGTCTAAAATAACCAAACAAATGACTAATCAAAAAAGTAAAGTTAAAGTTAAAGTACAATAAAAGTATGTATTAATAAAGTAATTAACATATTTTAATGAGTAAATATATAATTACCAGTTCCAAATTTAAATATCATTCCAACTTGTTTACATGGCAGCGGGAGGAAGTAGGATGGAAGAAAGAAGGTCAAAACACAACATCAGCACTGGTCAAAATTAGTATTTTTGAGTCTGAAGTGCTTTCTCAGCAGACAGACTGGGTGTGATAGAACAAGGTCACTCATTTAGCACCAAAACAATAGAGGACCACTGTGATTGTATCAAACAACATATGCGGCAAGCTAAGTAGGATGTAATCATATGTGCAGCAACCCCCTCCAAACATTCCTTCACAAGCTCTTAGAGATAACAACAAAACAATGGTGATGGAGGCCGGGGTCCTAGGTGAAAGCGATTTAATCTCCGCCTTCCTCTTCCTCACACTGACAAAACAAGGACAGCTATTGGAGTCAAAAATGTCGTTGTAGTTCACGGAAAGCAAACACTATAGTCAGGCTCAAATCAGCAGATCAGGACTCTTTGAACCATGGCCAGAAGAGGTTGGAGGATTCTGCATGGGCTGTTGCTAATTACAGTGTCCTGCTGAGTCAAAGCAAATCACCTAGACATCTTCATCCTCCACTTGCACCCACATAAACATGCATAAGTGAAGGCAAATGCAAATATTATAACATGTACTTGAAATGATCCTCCAAAGTGAAGATCAGTAACTATCTTCAAACCAGTGAGAAAATACAGTGGGAGGTTTTCCATTGACTACACTGCTTTTCATAGCACTCATAAATCCAAGATGGCACTGTGCCCCATCTACAAATCTGTAACATCTGTCAACCAGGCAATACAAGTCATGTAGAAATAGATTATACCATAAAATTAAACAAAAGCAGACCTCATGCAACTGAAAGTGGAAAGACTTGAATAGTATTACAATATGACAAGAAGACATGGAAAACATCAGAAACATAAGTATGCTCCTGTTTTGAATGACTTAAAAAGCGATCTACTTACTCACACAACAGCACGCCGTTCTCAAGTGCTGATCGGAAGTCACTGCTCCCAAATTTTTTCTTGGTTACTGCCTGGAAAACAGAATAAAAACAGTGAGCCAAAGTTGCATGCACGCCTGGATGAGGAGAGAGGGTGGGTGCATTTGTGAGTGTGCGTGTGGGGTGGAGAGCTGGGAAAAGAAAGGTAGGATGTTGAGAACAGTTGGAGAGGAAGTTAGAGGTATTTCCTTCTTAAGTCTTACAGTGTCTCTGGGTCATGGTTGAAGGATTGTTCTAAAGGTATTCCATAAGAGAGAAACTGCAATGGTCCCCTGTTAATGCTAAAAGGTCCCGGTAAACTGTTCTAAAACGGCTCTGAAGCCAAGCAGCCCAAAGCCACAAGGCTCTGGGAGCATCTGGATGACTGGAGGAGCACAGCACTGGGTTATAGCCTCATGCCTTTCCCATGATCTCAAACCACCAAGACTCATTATGTGAACAAGAAGAGTACAGCCCAACTAGCACTAAGACTAAACCATAGGAGTTAGACCTGCTCTGGTCTTGTATAGATTTTAAACCAGATGCTGAGATGCCTTTCCTTATGAAGAATTTCAAAATTTATTGATTGAAAATTCTGATTATAGATGTTACAAAAGATATATTTGTAAGAATAATTACCTGAATACCTGATTTATATAATGTTATTTCTTTTCATGCCACATTAAATTACATTTGGTTTCATAAATTTATTTTTTACATTGATTACATAGTGAAATGGTAATCTATTGTACAGTGAATGAATGGAATACACCCTTTTCTGTCATTGTGAAAGCATAACATTGTGCAGTTTCTTCTCACAACATTCGGAAAACTATGATTTCACAATGTGAAATCCCGATTCCTGACATAAATCTTCATTTGGACTTGTCTTCATTTGGACTTGCATTAAATGGCATGTCATCCTAATGGTAAATTACTGTTTGTGACTAAGTTTCCAGGTATAATCTAGTTTAATACATTAGGTATTAGTAATATGAATCCATTTAGTCACTGCATAATTACACATGCACATGCCTCACTATTCATAATATTACAAAGGCTAGGACAGCTGGCTCTAGTTGCATGCACACTGTGTAGAACCAAAACAAGTTGAACAAGTCACACCATCCCTTTGGGTCAGACGTGCCCTGTTCCAGGGCTTTTGTCCTTTTGCTTTTATAGATAGTTCAAAAGAATAGACCTTTTTATCATGCTTGAGTCAAGCCTATCATTACATGGATTAAAAGTGAGTGATAGACAGCTCAAGTAATTTACAACTTTTAAGACAGCCACAGTAACTTGAGCTGAAAATACCTGAGATTCCAGATGAAATATAAACACAATTTGAGTTTCGCCACACTTGGGTCTGTGCATGGAATATTAAAATAGCAAAAAGTGAATGTGTAAGTAAATTCTTGCTTTATCTTTGTAAAATATACCAACATACTTCTTCCGTCAATAATAGAATCATAACCACCAGGCAGTGAAAACAAACCGCAAAGATATGCATGCAAAGGCTCACTGATGCAGAGCAAACAAACTTGACAGCACAAAGTTGGCATAAGAAATCCTGACCCCTACTGTTAAAAGTTAGTGGGACAACAACAGATAGTGACAGATAACACAAGTGGTCACTGTAGAACAGACAACAGGGTTAGGAGAGAGAAAAGGGCATAGCTCAATGTACAGAAAAACTAAGCATTAGATCTCAGGGCATTTACTGGTTCTATCTCTACATTGTATAAATTCTGAAAATACAGTACATCTGGACATGAGCTGCTTTCAGACTCATAGTTTGAGCTCAGTTTAGTTCTGAGGTAGGCTCCTGCTCTAGCTCTGGTCTACTCTAGCAAGTCTAGACTAAGGGTGTGTTCACAATTGTCCTGGTTTTGTTTTTTGTTTAGTCCTAATATAGACTTGGTTCTAATCCTGGTTTAGTCCTCGTCTAGACCAGGTTTAGGCTTAATTTAGTAACAGTTTTTGTGCACACACTAGGGCTCAAAAATTTTTAAGAACTATATTCACTTTCCACAACAGAATGCAGTTCTTTATATTTGATTGATGCTTTTTGACAGGAAAGCATGTTCGAGTAGTCTGAATTTGATTCCACACTGCAGAGGCCATGGGTTCACTGTATCATATGCTTTTCCAAAAGTTAAGCCACAACCTCACTTTACCTCTCAATGGTAAAAATATGCTAAAAAGTAAACACTCAAAATTAAATCCCCTACAAATGCTATAAGTGGTGTGATCTTTTGAATCTGCAGGGTGGGTCCAGCAGCAGTGAGTGAATATTTTCCTTCTTCACTCGTCATTATTAGAGGCATAACTCCCAGTCCACTGAGCTCTCTCTCCAGTGGATCCCGTCATGTGGAATAATGGCTCTAATCTGCTACAACACACAGCAACTTTGATTTAACAAACGATTTAAGGCATGGCCAAAGGTTTCAAAAACAGCTTGCCTTCCTGCTCACATCCTCTACTCAAGAATGCCATACAGTAGAAGAGGAAGTCAGCTTTGTGATAACTTTATCTCATGCATCAAAACAGTAGTTAGATACATTTACATGCCACACTAGTAGCTCAAACAAAAATTAGGGTTAACAACAAACATACGGTAGTTTAAACTAAGTTAATGTTTTAACTTTTATTATCTGATTCTGGTATCGACATTCTCCGTTTCAGTTCCTTCAACACGCATTTCTCTCAGAAAACCATAGCTCAATCCTCCGTAATGAAAATAAATAGAGTTATATTCCACAAAAAACAGAAGATGTTTGGGTTGAAAAGCCAGTGAAGCCATTGTGGGAAGCCAAAAACTATTTTATATAAACACAATCTATATCCAAAAGCAGCTTTAAAAGTGCTGATCTAGTAGAATACTGGTTTGAAACAGCACCTTAGTGTCCGTGACAAAGTTATTGTTTATTCATGCAGTGCATCGAGGCAAATCAGTATTCAAGGTTTGTGCGGATGCAGCCCTCTGTTAATTGTTCCAAAAATTCTTTGTTCCTTCTTTACAGGAGTATGGGTCATCAGAGTGCAAATGGGACAATGTCCAAATCATTTCTAGATCTAACTCTGGAAAAAGCTCTGCAGAGAAGCCACTAGAGCTGACACCATCATTGTAATAGAACAACGTCAACATGCAACAACAAGTGAAAGGCAGTGTGAGGTCCGGCCTCACGTGAGTACATCTGAATGTAGGGGACCTAATTTCTGTAATTGCTGCCTGCCAAAACATTAAAAGAAACAGAATAGGGCCTATGATGAGGTGACTAATGATCAGCTGAGCAACACAGTGGGCCAGGTCATAGAGGACATCTCATATATAGATCTACAAGTCCTGGAAATATGGCTGCACAACATTGTGTAATATAATAATAACACAAAATAATCATGGACATCTAGAACATACAAAACAATACAACCCTGCTACTTGTTTCTCACAGATGCTGTCATTCAATTGACAAGGGCCTCCATTATTGTGGCAGAGCACTGTGGTTTGTATGACACAGTGGCCTGGACTGACAGCAGGCCAACTTTTTAAGGGTCTGCTACTCTTACAGCCATGGCAGCTAATGCAGGAATGTGTCCATGTGACAGACTCCAGACCATTTAGTCCAGTTTTTTAAGCACCCCACCAACCTGGTTGCACACATGCCTCTGTTTAAAGTGCTATAAAGCCCGACAGCTTGTTAATCATTCAGTGGCACCGACCAGCAGCCATAACACTTTCTTTTGAAGGAATGGTGTTAACCTCATGCCAGAAGTCACTCTTTGATTGCTATTGTACTGCCCGCGTATGCCACTGCTGTTAAATAATAAATCCCTTGTTAAGACTCTCTTGTACAACCTGGTCAGCCCCCTCCCACTTTAGCCTCACCTAATCTGCCCACCCCTGATCGGAAAGATCATGCCTACAGTGGACCACCAGCCCAAGTCACTACAATGGGCCAGTGTGCAAAAGTGTGAGACTCTGATGTCACATCAAAAGTATTCAGGTCCACTCTCATGAAATTAGAACAATATTTGTTTAGTTACAGTCCCTGCACCATCTCTCAAATGTCTGCAGCCTCATACTGTGGAGTGTAGAACACATGAAAACCACATTCTTAAGAGTTTACAAGGGAAACAAGTACTTCAGGTGTGCTGTTATATAAAAAAAATACTGAGAGCCATTTAACTATACAACTAGTATAATAACTATAGCCTAAAGTAACAGTCACTGTCTTCTGTTGTATTATTGTTTCCTATCAGAAAACACCTTCAATCAAGATAAAGGCTACATAGCACTATTCAAAATGAGTTAAACTATTGCAAAGGTTTTGAGGAAACTGAACACATGAAAAGTTACATATAGAACAAATTAATACATTTAATTACAATATTTTGTGTATAATCTTCATAACCTAAAAAAACAGCTAAGTAATAGACAGAGCAGCTGAACAGGTTTAGGCAAGATCTAACATGGGAAACAGGGTAGCATAAAAATTCATGAATGATGGAAAGGTCAAATGCATGTAGGGCTAGTCTACTGAGGAGACTAAAAATGACCTAACCACAAATCATGCCTGAAATTCCTTGATTATAGTGTGTACAGGTGAAGTCAAGGGTGACATGCCTGTGTGCATCTCTTAGTCTGAGTTTGTTTTCCTGAGGGCGTAGAGCTGAGAAAAAGATTATCAGCTTTCCTTCAGAGGGGCAAGAAAAACTCTACATTATGGCTAAATACCTTTCTGTAAGACTTCTCAGCAGTGTAAACTCTAATAAATCTGGTGAACCTTAATCAATAAAAGTAATTAAGATAAATTTATAAAGTCTTCTTACCTCTATCCATCTCTGCGCCTCCAAGTAGGCTTCTTCGAAGCTGACCGTGGACTGCTCACGCCACTCCATCACAAAAACTGTTTTGTCCACAGTGAGGGTCCAGTCAGTGGCATAAATAGATCCAGTTCATACAAGAACGGCGAAGCACCAACACAATGGACACACGGAACACGGATCAAGTCAACAAAACTACAGGTGAACAGGTATAACAAGCTAACAGGTCTTTAGAGATGCTCGTGAGTAAACCTACACTAATGGTTTCTGTAAGACAAAATGATTTCTCTTGCATCACATTGCACGCTCCTGTGCCTAGCCTACCTGAGTTTTCATCCGACACGCCTGTGTTATTGCTGCTTTGTAGCTTAATCACCAGCTGCTGGGTCTCCACCTAGTCTGGGATCACATTCACACACTAAAGTCAAGAAACACGGCTCACCTTAGCGCTCAGAGCTGAGAGAAGGCGGCAGGAACAGACGGGATTGTCCTTTCATAAAGTTTGCGGCTTTGGCGGGGGCAGTGGAAAGGGTGGGGGGTTCACAAGAGGGTCCAGAGACCAACCACAGCTCCTTTGTGCAGGCATCTTCCAGGTGAATAATCTATGTTCCTTGTTTCGGGTATTATAGTAATATTGAACTATCGAAACGCATCTTGGAGGGAGAATGAAAGGCACCTGTGCAGTTTGTTACAGCCTGACACAAAAAGTAACTACGGAACTGCAGACAGAAATCTTAGATCTCCAGGCAATAAGCGACTTCAGGTTACTCTTTCATACAGCTCCACCTAGTGGGTACTCTGCGGTAGTGCAACGTTTTCTCTGATAGCAACCTATAAGGCAGAGGTGTCCAAACTTTTTTCACCGAGGAAATCTAAATGTATTCGAAGCGGAGGACCACAGATGTGTGGTCATTAGAGTTAGTCGTTCAGAATGGTGCTATTACAGAGCCACTGTAGCTTTAATAAGGCTTGGGACATTAGGTTTTTCCTATGATCAGTTGGCCATTTCAGCAGGATTCTTGAGGACCAACAAAAAATGCTCAGAGGCAGGCCATAGTTTGTACACTGCTAGTTTACGGTCAGTGGATTGTACATAGGCTATAAGATATATTAATGGAAAAGAGATCTCGTGAGAGAAGGAACAAAAACTTTGTGCAGAGGGCATTTAGAAAACACAATATCAACACAGCAGTGGAACCGTACAGAAAAATCAGGCGATTACTCGTCCACTCAAAAGATAATAGATTTTTTTTTTTTTTAGAATCGGAGCATAAATGTAATGTCATTTACTAAATACCCTGCATGTCCTGGATTAAAACATACATTGGGGAAACAGGGAGGGCATTCAGTTCATGAAAAAAGGAACATAGGACAGAATGCGAGAATGAAATAGCGAAGATATGCACACAATAAACAAACACAAAGCAGAAAAGGAAGAACACAAATCAGCCATTTCTGACCACTGTAAAAAAGAGAAACACATAATGGACTGGGACGGAGCAAACATCATCGCTGGATTAGATAGGTAATTGAAATACGGGACTATAAACCAGGACAAGGGGGCTTTTTTGCTCTCACACACCTGGAATACTGTCCTGAGGAAGTCAGACTGCAGATGGCGCTATCATCCTGCCTCCACCGGGAGGAAGACAACGCCAAAATCTGAATAAATTAGCAGACCAGACATCATGCAACATCATGTGACCACTGAGTAAGACCGTAAGTGAGCAGTCAAAACAGGAATGAAAACAAACTCTCGGTCTGAAAAAAAAAAAAATCCTAATAACATAAACTTTGTTCTATCTAGTTATTAATACATGTTCAGTATCCATTTCCCAAAACTTAGTTAACAGTATTTTCACTACACACAATAGCAATATGTTCACAATGTAATAAAAGTCATTAGAAGAAATCTGGTTTATTTGACTGAATTACAAAATGTAGGCACATCCCTGAAAAATAGATACATTAACCAATTGTCAATTTGACTCCTTCATGAGACATTTGATCATCTTATTCTTGTTATAATACTGTCACCATACACAAGTGCATTTGTATTTTTGTTTTAAAAATAGTTACTCACATATACAAGGTGACAATCCAAGAAAATGCAACATTTCCCATGAAGCAAAACAAGTTAGTGCAGTATAGCGAATTTGAACACATCACTCTGTATACAACAATCCTCAAATGTCTTGAGTGTTTTTAATCTAACAACTCATCCAAAGCAACTATTATCTTAAAAGGATGTCGTCATATCACACTAAACCCTTGCACTAATCAGTTTCTTTTTGAAGAGAGGTAAGAGCTGATCTAGTGAGCACTTGAGAATGTTTGGCAGTTTCCTTTTTTGATTTCACACATCTAAAAAAAAGTCAACACTTTAATCTTTGCTTAGGGCGATAATGGTGAAACAAACTTCATCCGGGTCTCGAGCCATGAAGATTTTACAAACATCTACTGCATCCTTTAAAAAAAAAAAATCCAAAATATATAAGTGGATTATTAAAACAAATACGTTTCTTTATTTTATAGCATACTTTACCTCAAGGAAAGTTTCCTCTGTAGTGTTTCCATGCACGATAGGAAAAGGCTTACGACCATCTATGACAAAGACATAGAAGCATGAAGTTTGATTGGACAGAAAATATTGAAAACAAATTAATAACTGTAAACTTGAAGAGGCTAATTACCCAATTCATAAAGCTGTCCTCCCACATTAACAAAAGCTATGAAATGCAAATTGACTCGTTCATCAGCGCTTGGTGCCTGACAAAGTGAAAAAGAAAATGTTTTCATACAGTATATTTAAGGAATAAACTCAAAAACCTACAAACCTCAGTCTGTCCTTCTTGAGCACTTGATTCATGTGTAACACGTATACTCTGCAAACCATTCATATATTTGTAAAATAAAACAATAAAAGGATTAAGGATATTGTTACTATAAAATTATATATTCAATACCTCATCCTTCTCAAGGAATGCAGCCTTTTTCTCAGGGTTCATTTTAGAGGTATTCTCAATAAATTTCTTGAGCGGGGAATCAGGCTCTTGAAGAAAAACACACAAACACAATTAACAAAAGAAGAGTTAATAACATGACATGTATTTTATAGCCAGGGTCTCTATCATTTTTCACCAAAAGAGCTATTCTAAAACACATATTACACACAAACACACAGATTAATCATCAACTTTAACTTTTTGTTGCAACAGCAGTCAATTTGTTGCAGGGCTGATGCATCAACAAAAAGAAGAATTTTATTTGCATTAACATTTACCTAAACGAATGTAATAACCAACCATTTGTTTGTATCATTCCTTTATAATAAACATTTAAATTTCAGTAATGGTAAATTTTATTTCCAATGCAAGAATATTTGATTATGTCTGTTGACTTGAAACATACACATTATTATGTATCGCAATTGGTTAATCAAAATGTAGTAATATTTTTGCTGAATTGCTAAAGGCTCTGGGGAGTTGAGTGATAAGGGATGAAGAGCTGCTCCCCAGGCACAGATGGGAGATCCATGCTGGACAATATATCTGAATTAGATGGAATGGCTTCAACAATATAATTATATACAACACAAATATCTGGTTACCAAACTCCAGATGTTTCAAGTTGTTAGCCACGGCATGGATGATTCCTATTGTTCCACAGGCATTTCCAATTGTTTGTTTAATAAAGTAGACATCGGGGGAGATGTCTTGTTTCCCATTTTTCAGCCTTGCTTCCTCTTCTTCCTTGAATGTCTCATACTGCACAAAAAAGAAAATTACAGTGAAACAGAGTGGGACATCAATACAAATGATACGGGTAAATATACTAGTGTACAGGATTTGAACATACCTTGTCTGTAATGGGGAAGAGAAGGAGCACTGCACACACTGGTCTTGGTACCATGTTAAGAAGCTCTGGATCTAAACCATAAACGTCTCCAAACTGCCAAGTTGGTTTCATCCCCAAACGGTAAAGAAACTGTATTTTGGAATAAGAGGCCAGCAGGATATGCAAACATAGGTTCATATGCCCATGATGAATGTTTAAGGCATTCTCCAAAAATGCTCAGGAGCTTGCAGCATGCATTATAGTTTTAAATAAATTAACACAGGCCTACAGTTAGGTTTTTTGTGATTAAAAGAAAAATATGACAAAACAAATCAATCGTTTAGCTCGTTGTTATGCCTACTCTGTTTCAATATAATATCATATTTCATGATCCATAAAAACTCACCGTGGTCATGACCTGAAAAGACACAAAAAGAAAATGTAAGGTTAAATTTCTGCATGAATAGTCACTTGTCTTCAGCTTTTGTTCTCAATTAGCCATTTATGACAGTTAGCTCCTGTTAGCCCTCTCATGTTCATAGAAATCATGCTGATGAATGAATTAGTGAACATCGAGATTTGACAAAAGGTAAACCTACTTACTTCTGGATTTGATTCAAGTGGCAACCAACGTGGAGAGTCCATTTTGAGTGATACTGTAGTGTGGATAATTTGTGAACAAATGTGAGCTAAGAGAGCTTTCACCAGTCTGTTTGACAGCTGGAAACCGCTTCCGCATTGGGACAGCGCAAGATTGCAGCGCAGGGGGAAACAGTTTACATGAACCCAAACAAGACACTTTGCATGGGTTATACAAATAAAATAATATATGAATGTCGATCAAAATGTTATGAAACGTGTACGAGTAATAAACATTTTGGTAATTAATGTTTGTATTAAACTGTAAGTCCACGTAAATTACAGTTACACAGATACAGCAGTGTGGGATAGTGGACTGTTCCAGGGGCCAGGGCGTAATCCTTTCTGCTTCACGTTTTCACAAGTGCTGCTCTTTATGAGACATTTCGAAAACAATATTCACAATTAACTTCTAGTCATAATATTGGGACCCGGAGGAACGTTGCAAGTCATAATATTGTAATTTTTCCCATAACAACACACCACAAGAGGGCTCTCTCATCTGGAGAAATATGCCTGCGGCAGAGTTAGGTAGGCTAATAGTTCAACTTCAACACACAGCTCCTTTCACATGATTTATTTGTAACTGTTAAATCAGAACAGGTTTTTTTTTCAGTCTTTGCAGTTCATCTGTTTTCTCTTTGATTCGCATTTGCTAGCGCCACTCCAGACCATAAAATAACCCTATAGCTAGCATTGCTGTTAGCATTGTTGTTCGACAGACTGGAGGAGGAGAGAGCATCATTTATCTTTCCATTGATGATTCTTGTTATTACATGTGTCGAGTTTTCTCTTTCTTATGTTTCAGCTTCGAATAAGGTTGTGGACGTCATTAGTAGATTACCACCTGATACATTTTCTGAAATAGTGAGACTTTTTTTGTCTTACAAATATTTCTGCAGAAATTAAATGAATTAAATTTACTTGATTAACTTTATTATGAATTATTGTTTTTCATTATTTACAGTGTTTGCACATTCTGACCTACCTGTGTGGACAGTCCGCTGGAGTTGATTCAGCTGTACTATCTAATGTCAGTATTTTATTTAATTTTTTTTCTTTTCTTAGTAGTTAATAAAGGTGCTTTGTGTAACTTTTCTGGTGGAGGGTCTGTCTCCATGTAGATGTTATAGCTTATATCTGAAATGTTTCACAGTATGACCTTTGTATTTTTATGGAGACAAAACCAGGCCAAGTTACAGGTCAGATCTGTGGAGAGGCAACCCTGCTGACAGAATGGCTGTTTTTCTAGGTATTTTTGACCTATAAAACCACCCGTAATTGAACAAATGTAAGGTAGAGTTGTTTAATATCATGGTGTGGAACATTGACATATCTGTAGAAACAAGCAAGTGACAGACCTGCAGGCAAAAAGTTACATAGTGCACCTTTAAGATTTAAGATTTAGGAAATAGGTCTGTGAACTCTTCTTTTTTTCTTGAATGGATCTGATCTTTGTTATTGTTCTCCCGAAAAAAGGAACTGTCAAATGCCGGTACCTCACTTAACCTTGAGGATTTACAGAGTATTACAAGATGTGTTTTATTAACATTCAGGTATACAGCGCATTGCAATCAATGACACAAATTATATTTTATAAGTTTTATGAATATAAATACCTTTAGTGAATCTATATCTGTATGGACAGACATGCTGGAAAACACAACCTCTCTGCTGATGATTTAGTGTCAAAGTTGGAAGAAGATGGGAGCAGGTGGGCCAAACCCTTTCTTCAAGTGATACATAAGTTATGGAGTGAACATAGTGCAGAAGTCCAGCTACAACAAGAAGCTAAAGAGATGCTCAGCATTGGCCAGGTACTTTTAATTGCATTCTTAAATGTTGACCTTCATTACCATATTTGTGTGATGCTTTGCGTTTGCAGTTAGTTGACATGCAGTGGAAACTTGGCATGGCCGTGAGCTCAGACACCTGTAGATCACTAAACTCTCCGTATGTGATGGTAATGTTGAAGGTGGCTGATCCCTCTGGTCAGATATGTCAGAAGTCTTTTGAAATGACTATCCCACAATTCCAGGTTTGTATAAATTGTAAAGAAATTATTTGAGTGCTCAAAATATTTATTCCACAAATTGAAGTAAACATGACCTTTCCTAGTTTGGTGGATGATGCTTTGATTGCATGTTTCCTGTTCTACTGCTGTTCTTTAATGTTATATAGCAATACTGCAATTTTCAAACAGTGAGAAAATTAAAGGTTATCTTATCTTTTTCAGAACCTGCACACTCATTTTAAGGATATTGCAGCAGTAATGGAAACTGTTTGATATAATTCAGTATATATTTTTCACATTTCTCAGTTTGTATCGTCTTTGTAAATAAGTGTTTGTTATTTTATGGTGGCTCACAATCGAATCAATTGAAGCAATTCTAATACCTTTTGTGAGATACATTGCTACTAAATAAACAAATGCTCTTGATTATTGAATTATTTATTATGTTGTTATTGTGATATAAAGTAATCATATTTACAGAGCATGACTACAGCATTTCAAACTATGGCTTATTGAGGCATATTAACTAAAACTTGAATAAAGTTAAATAATCCTCATTTCATGTAAGACTGCAGTGTCTATAATTTCAGTGCTAGTGACACAATTCTTCATACGAGTTAAATATAGAACAGCATGTGTTTTAGCCAATGAGTGAGCTCTAGAAATCTAGAAATTACGACGCAGTGCATAAAATCCTTAAAACAGCCAAAGTGCATGTCAATATAATTACTATAGGCCTACAGATATAGGGTACATTTAACTGATATTAAATGAAGTAATTTGTAGTATTTGATGACGCCATTAAGAACCTGTCCTGCGCAAAACCTAAACTCGTGGAACAACTTTGGTAATAGAGGCAAAAAAAAAAAACACTTCAGTTTGGGTTACACTGGGTGGGGTGGAACCTCCCTGTCACGTTTCACATGCTTCTGTTCTGCGCCCAGCCCATTCCTCCAGCACATGGGACAGCAGCGCTGGGCGGGTCGTCGACGCGCACTCCTCGCTGCTCCGCCTATTCCAAGACGCTAGTGGAAGAAAGGTTTTTTGTCGTGGTACAGCATGAGAAGAAGACATACCACCTCCAATTTATGTATGTTCTTTTTTTCTTGAACAGTGTGATGCGCCTAAGCGACGAAAAGTTATGTATATGTGTATTTTAAAAGCTGCAGTGTCGTATGAGCCGCCTAAGAGCGCACCCAGGAGCAACACAAAGCGCGTCAAAGAAATCTGATTTCACTGGGAGACTTTTGTTTACACAGAATGGAGCCTGAGCCACGTTTTCCTTAGCACGAGTGGCTAGGACAGTGCTGCATACTCTTGACATCTAGCTCACAGCACAACCATTGGAGAGGGTGCCACATGCGCATATTTAGGCTACTTGCCTGGCTGCCCAATAGAGTTTTTGAAGATTTTTTACTTATTGGGAAAAAACATATGTTTGACTCCTGCATTTTTGACAAAGTCACGTTGCTTGGCATAGGCTGTATAGGAATGGAACATTAGAATAGTTATTCTTGATACTGGAACGAGTAAACAAGGTTTCCAAAAGTCAACATGGAGAGCAGCGCGGACGAGAAGGAGAGCAGCCTCCCGAGCTCTGACAGTGACAGGCGCTTCGCCTTAAGTTACATCGGCTGGACTACGTTGGACAGACGGACAACACTGCCCATGCTGCCCTGGCTCGTGGCTGATATTCGCAGGAAAAGTGAGAAGGGCGACTGTGGGCCTCAAGTTCAGCCTAGGGATGTCCAGCTGGTCCTCAACCCTCCTTTACTACGTTGTGTCCCCTCTAACAACAGCAACTCTTCCGTATTCATCTTTGAGCACAAAGCACAGCTCATCTCTCGTTTCATACACAACAGCAATGATCTCTCTTATTTTGCCTATCTCCTGCGAGGACAGCCTGACAACCCCGAGTCAGAGATGTCCTGTCACGTCTTTAAGGCCTACGACCCCAACCAGGTAATACTGTCAAAATGAATCCACGTGCACCAAAACTTTTCAAGGTACGACAGTTGCATGTATCCCAAACTTGTTTTCCCTTAGGCTGCTACATCATTGTTGCAAAATGTGTTAGAAAAGTGGTAAAATTGCATTTGATCACACAACAGAAAAGCTTGAATAGATGCCTATAATCACAATGCCATAATTTATATACACACGGGCTAGATAATGACTTTGGTAAAAACATGTTTTCCTTGGAATTAAGTATTTAGGCCAGTGCCCTGAAAGGAAGAGGAATTGAGCACAGCGTTTTTTGACATAATTAATCCTCTCCTTGTTTTGCCACCATGGGAATCAGTGTGCCAGAGGTGGAGATAGTAACATTATTTGGAAGAATGAACACACGCCACCAAAATTGGGTAGATATAAATGAATTAAGTGCATACATGTATGAATAGACTTGGGAGGAGTCATGTTTTCCTTCTTTGAAATATCCAATCTTACTCAAACAGTATTTGCATTGATTGTGTCTCATGTTTCCTGAAGTATGTGAGTGGCACAAGCAGGCTGTTTGTCTGCTAAGAACAGGAGAAGCAGCAAGCACGTTTGAGGTGTCAGGCTTCACCCTCATTGAAAAGTGCCTGTAGATATCTTGGACATACATATAGATCATAGCAGCCTGATTATGCACACACACAAACTGGTTTAGCAGGCAGCAGTTCCCAACATGTAGACAGTGGACCATGAGGAATGCATGGCTACACTGTTCTCAAGCTGCCATGTTTAACTCTCCCTCAATTATCAGTTCTACTATTACTATTATTCCTCTTTCAGATAGGACAATCTATGCAGAGTTACGATACAGAACATGCCGGACACCCTGACAGAATAAAATGCTATGGGGCCCTGTATTCTGAACCTCAGTTGTAGGGTTAAATAGATGCAAAACTTACATTTGTAAACACTTTCATTGCCATGCAGACCCTCAGTGTAGTATTCTGCAGCCCTCCATTCATACCAAACAAAGAGAATAAAGAGTTCTGGCCTTTTAGTGTAGGTAGGCTTCAAGGACAACTGAAGCATTGTAGGATATATATAAACTTGTGTGTTTACTGTGTGAAAGTACCATTGTTTTTTCATACAACATCCCATTCAGGGTGAAAAAAATGCAGGTTCTGTCCTGTATTTTCCACCACTCTCTAAACATGAGACTGCTTGTTAGTTCAGCTAAGTGTGTTCTATAAATATGTTTATAAATGTGTTTAAATTATCAACTGCTTCAAGTTAAACAAAGACTTTCTCTCCAAGTTGAAATGTAACCTTTTACCTAGACTATAGGCTCTGCTGTGTTCTCCCAGACACACAGGCCAACACAAATAGAACTGAGTCAACTCCTTAAGCCACTGATGGGCACCGTGGGCCTGCACAGTATGTATCCCTGTGTTTTCCTTTGCTCTCTATTAAAACTACACAAACCTCCACTGCTCCACTTGGCGAGCTGTGAAGCTGTGGCCTTGTTGAATACAATTGGATAAGGTCACAGTCTAAATACAGTTATACACTACTATAAACATCAAACGTGTGTGCTGTGACTTGTGCTTATTTTATGTTTAGAGAACTATAAAAAAAAACAACTCCAAAATGGTTTAACTGCTAAGATGAAACAGAAATACTGATGGTGGTTAATATAATGTAATTATATAATATAATTAGAATTAGATGATAATAGCTTATATATTATGAATGACATATTTACATTTTAGGCCACTGTTGGGTGTACTGTGTAGAGACTTCAACACAAAGTATGAAACTGTGTAGTATGAAACAATTTAGCATAATGGAAATTGCAGCTAATGCCAGTTTTAGATCATTAATTCCACGCCAACTAGAATCATGTGGTTCAATCATTGGGAAATGCCTTAGGCCTAGCTTTGTGTTAGTTTGTTTAGTTGGATCATGAACATTTTAACAGTTTACCAGTGCAGCTGCTGACTTACCCACTTCTGGAAAAGCAGTAGTCATCAATATGTTAGAGTGGCAATACACTGTAATGTGTCTTTTAATCTATATAATTTCTAGAAAACTGTAGCATAATGACTCATTGCTTTTGTATCAGCTCTCCATTACCTTTTAATTGGCTTTTTATTCAAGTTTTTTACTGAACTTTGAGACCGACAAAACCGCACTGCAATCCACTGGCTACTATTTAATATGTTTTTGCTTTATAGTAGTAAAGTTAATAGGGAATTTACTGATATACTCAGTTACTGATATGCAGGGTATTTCTGGGATCTATAGTGGCTCAGAGAGGACAATGCTTCATGCTTGTTTTGCCTTAAGCCCTAAAGCTGGCCTCATTTATTAGTGTTTTGCTCCGTAGACAGGATTTGGACAACCACCAAAGTCATGTATCATCATGGATACAGATAACAGGGTAATGTTAGGTGAAGGACAGTTGTTTGAATAGAGAGTGGCCTCTACCTCATGCATAATTTTGTTTATGTCCTTTTCATGTTTTTCCATTTGTTACATAATGTTTCTCCCTTTGCATTGCAAATGTATTTACTCAACAGTCTTATCAGATATGAGGACCGAGGAGTGAAACCACCGTTACTTCTAGAGCAGGTCCTGGGGCTGACCTTGCCTCGACTGCCTTGGTTTTCTTGTTTCTTTTACAGCATTTCCTCTTATGATTGGTCTCTGCACATTCCTAAACATTGCCCAATAGTTTCCTACATGCATTAAAAGAACTACACTCTACAAAATTTGTTGCTCAAATGACTATTGTAGGTGCTAAAATGTGCATCTTGGCAACATATTTTAGTTAAATGGAAGACATAATGACCTCTGAGTTTTTATTTTATTCCTTTGTTTTGCCTGGTTCTTTTTAGCTAGTGGGTGTTTCCTGGCCTGGACCTAACGTTATTGTTGTCCTTTACCTTTGTTACCTCCGTTCAGATTTCCTTGTCCTGAATAATTCATAAAAGTCATAACATTGTATACCCTGACCACCCAAACAGTTATAATTTGTTGTTGTGTAATGTTTTAGTGTGTTTATTTTTTATCATTTCCTTTGCTTTAGGTTCCTGAAGTTATCAGCAGGATTCGACAAGCATCCAAATCCGTCCTTAAGGAAGAAACTAATCCAAAACAGGAAACTGAAGAAGCGTTCTACAATTCCCAAAAGTTTGAAGTGCTTTATTGTGGCAAGGTAAAACAAAATCTGAAATAAAATATTACATTTCACTGATTATAATATTATCCTGTATAGAATAAAAGTAAAACATGATCATTTTTTTCCAAGGTAACAATTGGTCATAAAAAAGCTCCATCTACCCTTATTGATGATTGCATTGACAAGTTTCGCCAGCATGAGGTTGAACGTAAACGACTTCGGCTACTTAATGGTCAGCGTGGGTCAACAGATAACACAACAGTGGAGTTTTTCATGGGCGCTGAGTCAGACCCTCTGTCCGCTGTTTTAAATCCAAACACAGAAAACACCAAAGTGCCTGCAGTGGATGACATACCATTAGGAGGAACAGGTTTGGAAAAAGCTATTTCTCTCTTTATACTAACTAATGTCAGATTAGGTTTCATTCACACGACTTCACATTCAGTATTCCCTATAGTTTGCAAATTGAGGTGGAGGACAGGTTAGAATTCTGTGAGGTGATTTTTTTGTTTTTTTTGTTTGTTTGTTAATGGTTAATCTGTTTGAAATTACAGGTCTATACACATGAAACAAGATCTGTCAAACTTTGATATTTTCTCTTTCAACCTGAATAAAAAGTGACCCATTTATTTTACTTATGTTTAAGCACTCTACTCTTTTTTAAGAAAGCTGTGAAAAACAATTTATGATTACTTTAGTTTATTTGATCAGAGCAGCACACTGTAATTAACATACATTCCTTCCTCCCTCTCCATATTTTCTCTCACAAACACTCTCATTCATATACCAGCCTACATGGACATTGGAGACAAACTGGGTGAAGTGTCTTGCCCAAGGACATAACAGCAGTATGTGCTAGAGTCAATGCTGTCTCGCTACGTTACCTGGTATTCTCAGTGGTCTCCCATCTAGTAACAACAACCTGCTTAGCTTTGGAGATCACACAAGTGATCTAGATACACACCTACATTAATAACTGAGTCAACAATGGAAATAACAATGAAAATAACCATAACAGTTCAATTAGTTAACTAAATTCACAGTTAACATATATTATTTGTACATTTGCCTGCTCTATGAATGTACTATGTATTTTGTCATTTTGTTTGCAGGTAAAGCCGTATCTAGCAGTGCTAGTCAAAGCAGTCTGCGTGGTACTTTCCCAGAGTGTATCCTGGAGGACTCTGGTTTTGAGGAGCCTCAGGAGTTCCGTACTCGGTGCAGTAGCCTCGCAGGGAACCTACAGAGAAAACCTGGAGAAAATGTCATTCTAGCCCCCACACGGCGCCGCCATGCTAGTGCTCCAAATAACGTTCAGCCTTCTGACGCGGACAAAAATCGCACCATGCTTTTCCAGGTAAAACAGGCCATTTCTGTGGAAAGTATTAGCATACTGTTTCCTGATAGGGGCAGCTGGCCGCCGCTCAGTTATCTCTGAATCCAGCTCACAGTTGAATTTATGCTCTGGGTGTGAATTTGAACTCATTATCTGTTAAAAAAAACAAAAAAAATGGAATGGCTTATGGTTGAAATAGATTACTGCCACAAGTTTTGTAACATTACACTTATTTGTTTATGTGATCCTTTGCATCTTTCAAAGCTCATAAGCCCTAGTCTAAAGGTAATACCATGATTGATTTTCTTTTTTGCACAACCTAAACCTTAGAAGAACTTGGAAGCCACTGTGGAGTGGTTGCCTCAGAGCTGCTGCACGCTGTAACTCTTCCCCTCAGTCCTCTGCACTTCTCTGGTACTACAAATCATTTTTATGTGGGAGCTCTTGGCTGTCCCAACACAGCAACCAACCCTGATGTATGCTGCTCCCAGTTGAACAAGCTTTAACTTCTGAATAGTATTTTGTGATCTATTCAAATATGAGCATAAAAGGCCCCTTGAAAAGCTCCAATGTTTACCAGCTGCTGTGCAAAGCTATATTTAACAACTGGAGCACAACGCTCAATATGATACTCCACATAGAAGTCCATTATGTAAAAAATCATTTGCGCATTGCGTTGACCTTGATTCTAAATGTGTTTATGTCTTTCATTGACCGTGTCTCCAAACTGTTCCAGGGCAGTGCTTGTCACAAGATATTATTTATTATTATTTGTTATATAGTTAGTATGTCAGTGTTCTTCAGTTTATTTTGTGTTTTTGTTGAAAAATTGACATGCATGTTGTTTTGCAGGTTGGGCGTTTTGAAATAAACCTTATAAGTCCGGATAGTAAGACAGTGGTGCTAGAGAAGAACTTCAAAGATATCTCATCGTGCTGTCAGGTTTGTTTATTAACGCTGGCTGTGTTTTATGAAAAGGTCATCGTATCCGCCGCCTGTCTGAGTGAGCTAAAACTGTATTCTGGAATCAAGCAAGGACTATACAAAGCCAAAGAGGATAAAATATGTGATTACCCTGGACCAAATTCCCTGAATTAAATCCAGGACTAAACCTGGCCTTTATCAGGATTTACCAACACTAAAAGACAAACTTTGGATTGGTTGTGAATTAAACATGGACTTAACCAGGCTGTAAAACTATCCCTGAATCACTTCTTTAAAAATGCAGGCACTACTGAGTGCCAAGAGAATGTCCTATCAGTAACGCCTGTGCCTCAGTTTGAGAAATAAAAATCAAATGTAATGTAATGTACATCCATTAATCTAGTGTTTGTTTATATGCTACAGGGTATAAAGCAAACTGATCATTTTGGATTTATTTGCCGGGACCAGTGTGAAGGTGGTCCTAGTCAGTATACCTGCTATGTGTTCCAGTGTGCCAGTGAGTCTCTGGTGGGTGATACACACTTTAGAGAATACCTCTTAGCTCAATAACATTGATCTATTTCCTCACACCTCTTCTGTGTTGCAGGTGGATGAGGTGATGATGACACTGAAGCAGGCTTTTAGTACAGCTGCTGCCCTACAAAGCAATAAGACCCCGATCCAGCTGTGTGAAGCATGCCCCATGCATGACCTACACAAGCTCTGTGAGAGGATTGAAGGTACCATGTGAACTCACATCAGAGGCTTTCCTCTGACTCATGAATAGACTGATGCGTGGTCTGCTCTGCTTTTTACACACAGATAAAACTACATTCTTGTGTCCTCAGGTCTCTACCCACCTAGAGCAAAGCTAGCTATCCAAAAATATCTTTCCCAGCTCAATGACAATGAGCAAGCTGAGATTTTTGAGCGAGTCCAGGTAAAACATGTGTGGAAGATATAGGAGATAAGGGTGCATTATGTAATAATAAAGTAAAGTACAGTGTATAGAGCTTTTATAATAATATATATGTATACATATATGTACAGAGGCAGAAGCCATCTTCAGATCAAGAGGAAAATGAGCTGGTAATTATCCAGCTAAGACAACTGTGTGAATTAAAGCAAAAAACCCACTCACACCTCGGAGATGCTCCTCAGGTAAAGTTTTAGAATGGATGAATTATATGTTAACTCCAATGTGTTTGTTATTTTCATTGTATTGTACTTTTGATTTTGAACAGAATGCAGCCAGTAGCTCACAAGCTGGAGATGGAGCAACCAGTGGCAGTCGTTTCAAACTCGACGTTCTCAAGAATAAGGCTCGCTCTTCCCTCACCAGTTCACTGGAGAACATCTTTGCACGGGTACAATCCTGCAATAAACCATAAACCATATACATTTGATTATAAAAACTAAAAACCCTTAGCACCCTCTTATCTGGGGATTTGGATTGACCTATATCTCTCTCAGTGACACTGCACACATCATTATAACCATCTGTTTGGGTCAATATAGCACAAAGCCTCGCCTTGAATTGTAAAAACAAAACAAAACACCTTCATAACTGTATGTTTGTCAAATTTGACATATACTCTATTTTGATATTTTTTTTCACCAGGGTGCCAGTCGGATGCGGGGTCGTTTAGGAAGTATAGGAAGTATTGGAAGCTTTGATAGGGTGAGTGTAAGAAAACAAAAAATCCTTGTAACTTGTAAAATTATTATATAAAGGACAAACTTGTACTAGTCTACTGTGTGTTCAAAACTATTGCTTGTTGACTCAGAATGCCACTCTGGTGCAAAATGTGTAATGAGTGTGTCATGTAGTTACTTTGACCAAGCATCAATCATAAACAGCACAGTGTAAGTTGTCATGTTGTACATGTTAGCTCTATAAGGCTTGCCATATTCCAGTTAGCATGTACCTTTTGGATTACCTGTTAAATTGAATTTTAGTGTTTTTTTGTACCAGAGTAAATGGAACTGCATGATTTGTAAGAGTTACACATTTCAGCCAATTCTCAAACGTTGTAAAATTATTTATTTTATTACATTTATTGTCATCTGGATTTTGTGCCAACAAGCAGGAAATCCAAGTCAGGATTTCCAGTTGTGTGACTGCTGAGCTATGCCTTTATGTACTTCCTTTTTGTCACAGTATGAAAACACAACCTCTGTCCTAATTTGTACAAACAAATAAGGCTATAAACTTTGTATACACTAAGAAATCAGTTACATGTTTTCAACTTCTGCTGTGTTTTAAGAACCAGCATGTTGTTTTCCTTGCCGTACCAGTTTTAAAGAGGGAGGTTACAGAAGCCAGAGAGAGCAGATTGGAGGGTTGACTACTCTGAAGTCCTTCCCTCTGATGTGTTGATGCCATGAGTCACAGGACTGCATTAGAATACAATAGCTGTGGGAGTTTACTGCATGAGGGGAGACATGAGGCTGGAGTGGGGCTCAATAGAAAGTGGAGCCTGGAGTAGGTCTGGCTGTGGCTTACGTTGTGAGTGAGGTGAGTGCATTTCTGAAACATGAGCTGCTGTTTTATTTGGCTTTGGGCTTGGCATTGCCTTCAGTTTTGAATTACTGTCTATTTCTGGTTTTACCGTGATAGCACTTTGACTCTCTACTGTCAGACAATAAACCAAACAATTAAAATGCAGAATAAACATAGTAGTTCAATTATCCTAATAATAAAAAAATATCTGTAATTATTCTGTCATCAGCAGGATGAGGAGTCTCCAGACCACTCACCTCCTGGTTCCCCTCCACACTTTCCTGATGATGACCCAGAAGCTGGCATCCAGTTTCGGCGGCGTGCTCACACCTTCAGCCATCCACCTGTGAAGAAGCGCATTTCCTTCGAGAGTCACCCCTCCTCTCAGAGTAAACACGCCCCTCTGCGCAGACAACAGTCAGTCAACCCTGAGCTGCTGCAGAGCAGGTAGTGTACCTGACTTAACTTTGACCACTGGCTCTGAGCTGTGGCAGTAGTGGATGTTTTGCAAGCGCAGCTTTTGTGTTTTGTATGAGCACATGGCTAAGGCTAACAAGGCTTTAAAATCTTGGAATGTAATAGTTTGATTTGATGTGCAAAACCTTTGATCTATATCTTTTTCAACTCCTACCTAACTATCCCAGCAACACAATAGCATCACATGTTTCCCGTTCAGGTTTAGATTTTTTTCATACATTTCTGTTCCTTTTTTGTTTGTAGTTCTTTGTTTGTGTAATGTTTGTTTTTATTTGTGGGCATTTCATGTTTGGCTCACCACAGTCCTGTGGCTGTCTCAAGAACACGCAGTGTTTCGGAGAGTGACTCTACCTTCAGCCTCCCCACCTCCTTCTCCGCCCCCACTTTCCTGAAAAGCATTTACCAGGGCTCCCTGAGTTCCCTCAGCTCCCTGGCAGACAGTGGGAGCAACAAGAGGTGAGAGGGGGTCCTCATAACCCCCTGTGCACAGCCCCCAAAACAGCCAGCAATCTGTCACTGGGATGACATGGCTGCAAGGTGTAACATTTCTATGCTGGGAAAGCAGACACCCCATGTTGGCTGTCCAAACGTGCAACATGCATCTTTATTATTTCTATTACTTCACCCCTTCTCATGGAAGTGAAATAAGTTTTCACAATTAATGCTGCTGGACTTGCTGTACTATGGAAAAGAAGGAGATTCTGATCTTCCATTTCTTTTGTGTCACAACTGCATGTTATATGCATGACTAACTAATGCAAACATTATTTGTAGCTTTCTGCCACTTCATTAAAAGAGTCATTGTAATGTAGTGTGTAGTGCAGTTCTATGCATCTTGATTTTTATAGCAGTTCATCCAAGACAGTGCAGTTGTGCCTGAGTGGCAGAAAGTAAAGGTTAATATTTCCATTATGAATGAGCCTCAGCTGTGCAGACCACTGTAAAATGTCACTTCCACAGGATGTTTTCCTCTGACAGAAATTCAATCCATTTAGCACTTCTGTTGATGGTGTACCAAAAGAGTAAGAACAGTGAAAATGCTGACCTCTATAAAAGATTTTTCATTTTTCATATTCACAATAAGGGGTTTGTGTTATACCCTAGCTCACTGTTACTTTCTGATTAGGACACTCATTGTTATTTATTCTTTTTATGTATTTTCAAGTTTATGTAAGCAACATGATGAGAAAAAACTCTTGGCCTCTTTCACTTTTTGGCTTTGGTCTACCTGTGTTGACTTAAATGACAGTGTATAATGACAGTGGTTTTAACTTTGTTTTTTTAATAAGGCTGTTGGGACATATAGGAAAAATGAAGGTGTTATACTATATCTACCTATACAATACCTTTTTATTGGCAGTGTTTTTTGTTAATTTGACTCTAATCTGGAAAATATTCTGACCAAATATTCTCACCAAAAAGCATGTTTACTCATTTGATATCTGGCTTGTAACAGATAATGCATGAATGCTTTATGCCTGAATATCCGCTTTGTGGCTGATATTGTAGAAACTAACTGTCAAACACAATATTGAACTTTGCTTTATTAACAATACGTACATGTTAGTAGGCCTGTCACAATAATGACTACCGTTATATTGACTTATCATTCAATATATGAAAGATAAAGCTATATATTTTGGGGTTTTTATGGTTTTAAAATCTGCATTTACTATCACAATATATCACACTTCAGAATTTGTTATCGTGACAAGCCTGCATGTGAGTTAATAGTTGTAAACATTTTCTTTCATCATGTTACAGTTGGATGTATTGGGTATATGTGAAATGGCTTAAAAGGTGGTTGTAAGTGGACACCTGTCTTTCACTGAGTATCTGTGACACAGCTCTCTTGTCTCATAGCAATGGCGAAGGGAGGAAGAGGACTTTGTCAGGCTGCAGTACTGACTCCCTGAGCACTCTCCCTCTGACCCCACGTCGCGTCTCCTGGAGGCAGAAGATCTTCATGAGAGTGGCGTCTCCCATGAACAAGCCACCGATGTCTATGGAGCACCCAGGTTCGGTAACACAATTGCAAAACCGGCATTACAATCCTGCATCAGTTAATAGACTCTGTGGGCTATTATTTACAACTATGCATGATTTACAAACCGACTTCTAATGTGTCACTGTTTTTTTTTTTTTCAGGTATTTAATGTCACATTTTAAATTTAATATTAAAATACATACATACATAGTTCAATATTTTACATCTCGTTCATTGTAATTTGCAATATTGATTTACAGCTTAATACAAAAAGTTTTATTCATTTCTTGTTCCAAATATGACAGGCCTCTTCATAGTTGCATTTAGAAATTAGCATATTTCGTTTAACCTGTTTTTGTTGTTGAAAAAAGCCATATGACATTTTTGAACTCTACAGTGATGACTCGGAGTCTGTATTTTTTGAATGTAGGGGGTAGGGGTTTTTTTTTTTGTTTTTTTTTTTGCTAAATCTGAGTTCAAGCTGATCTGCGTTCAGGACATGTGTAAAACCTGTAAAAAAAAAAAGTATTTCTCTCACATTGCTAACATTTGTCTAATTTTATGTCCTGTATTATATGTTGTTACTTAGACCACTCTGACACTTCTGAGCTGCTGCCGCTATCTCCTTGTGCTCTGGTCTCTGGTCTGGATCCATTTGGTCGACTGGAGCCCATAGGCGGGGACCATGCTCCTGGAGAGAGGCCCAAGAGGACTGCAGTAGATTACAGGATGCTCTGGAAGACTGCCATTCACCAACAGATCCTGCTGCTGCGCATGGAGAAGGAGAACCAGCGCCTCGAAGGTGCGTTTGAGTAATGATGAACTGAAACATGAGAGTCATATGAGCGATACACTGAACAAAATGTCTTCTGCAGTCTGTGTAATTGTGTATACTTGATATTGGTGTATGGTTTATCTGTGCACATGAGTCCTGTTCATATTTTGTCACGTTGTTCTACACAAAGCACAAAGAGGCTCCTTGTATGCCAAAGATATGGATAATAACAGCTTTCTTTTACATTATGAGTGGAGGACCATTTTATGTTTCATTATGAGGTGGAAGCTACTTTGCAGATATAGTACTTGCATTCTCAGTCAGCTTTATTGCATTGTATTTAAGGGACGATTGTTATACAACCTTCATCAAAAACAGGAAGTTTGAACAAAAGGAGTGGAAACAGGGAAGTGCAAATCCACGTGTGAATATTGTACTGAACTTGCATGTAAGACTGTATTTAATTACTGGATGAAACTATATTAACAACAACGAGTCTCAATCAGGCGACAATGCAACTTTATAATTAATTATTTATTATTCAATATCAGGGTACACATTTAACAAAGTGTCTGTTTTCTTTTTTGCTACTCTGACACTACTGATGATCTTTTTCAATAGATGGTAAGCAATATCAGTGCATGAGTTCAAAGCTAAAGTTTTGCATGAATCACACTTTTTGGGTTTATATGGTCAAATCAAGCACACATTGTACTGGTCATCTGTTAGTTTATTCTTTCAACCTCTTCATTTTTCTTCCTGTACTTTTGTTTCCCGGTGTTCGTATTAGTGAAGTAAATTTCTTGACATTTCCATGGTAACTGTTGGGAAACTATCAAAGAGATTGTTGTCTCATTTTCTCTTGAACTGGCCAATTACACGTATCTACCAAGAATGCAGTAAGTACAAACATTCTAATAAGTATAAACCTTTTATGTATTATAGCAAGCCGTGATGAGTTGCACATTCGTAAGATGAAACTCAACTATGAGGAGGTGGGCCAGTGTTCAAAGGATGCTCAGGCATTGTGGGAGAAGAAACTATGTGCCCCAGGCAGAACCACAGTCCCACAAGATAAAGAGGAGATGTACCGCGCTCTCTGTCAAGGTCTGTACTGTCAGGCATGTTAGAGTGTGGAAAACCAGACACACAACTCGTGCTAGATATTCTATTTTGCATGTTCTCCATTAGATGTATTTTTTGTAATATTATGCAGAGCTGCACAATATATCAAATCATCAGCAATCAAATCATAAACACTATATGTGTTGTGCTTGTTGCTTGTTGTGCCTCTAAATTAGACCTATACAAACATGTTCTGAAATTCATGGGATATTTCAAGTTGTATTACCAGTTCATGTTTTAGCCTCCTTTACCTTTAGTTGTCTAGTTGTGCCCTTTGAACAGAATCTTACTTTTAAAACATAAATCACAAAAATATATATATTTTTTTCTAAAATCATGCAGCCCCATTTTCTATTAGTTTATGTGTCATTTATATGTTTTATATGTTACTAGGTGTTCCAAAGAGCCGTCGAGGAGAAGTGTGGCTCCTTCTCTCTCATCAGCACCGACTGCGACACAGACTTCCCCAGCGACAACAAGCCCCTGACACCCCATATCGAGATTTGCTCAAGCAGCTCACAGCACAGCAGCATGCCATCCTGGTGGATCTTGGTCAGCTCAGCTATTTATAATATATACTTAAGAATTTTGTTTTAATTTTAGAATGCTTCCTAATTAAAAACACAGCTCAATTTTGTTTATTTGTGTATGAGTAATCCTCCTGCATAATGATGTTGTCTTCCTTAGAGATGTAAACTTAGAGCAATTTATTTTTGTCACTGAAACTTAAAATTGTTTAAAAAAAAACATACTGTAGTCTATGGATGTAAACAGCATCCACATTTGGCACAAATATAGTATTCTTAGCTTGCTCAGTATCGCTACTACTTTCTCCCCATTTTAATGTCTAAAACAAAAAGAGAAAAAAGACACTATTTCAGATCTTATTTGTCTCCTCTTCAGGTCGGACCTTTCCCACCCATCAGTATTTTTCCGCTCAGCTTGGTGCTGGACAGCTCTCCCTCTATAACCTTTTGAAGGCCTACTCTTTGCTGGACACAGAGGTAGATTCTTCAGTGTTAAATCATTATAACATGCTGCTGCGACTTATAATGATTTAACAGTCTGTGTGTGTTTATTTTTGCAGGTTGGCTATTGTCAGGGAATCAGTTTTGTAGCTGGAGTGCTGCTGTTACACATGAGTGAGGAACAGGCCTTTGACATGCTAAAGTTCCTCATGTACGACCTGGGCATCCGACGCCAGTACAGACCTGACATGATCTCTCTGCAGGTGTGTACACAGACAGCCTATGTGTTTATTTTAGAGTGAAATACTGTTTGGATTAGCTAGACTTTAACAAAATATTACAAAGGACTGTTACTTTTTACTGGGACAGTGAACTTTAAACTTGAGTAAGAGAGAAGTTGGCACATAGAGGTTGGTTCAGAAGTTACATAAAAATTAAAAACAAATGCACATCATGTGTTGCATGTAATTAGACATACTTATTTTCAAGTTTACTATTATTATTATTAACATATTTTGAATATACATCGTACAAAATAAATATGAGATAGAGCTGACCTATGAAGCCACCTTTTCTCAAACTTTAGTATCACCTAATAAAATATTTAGTGTTCCAGGTCTAAAATAGCACTCTACACTTGCTGTAGCAGTTCTAAAGAAGGACTAAACCAAAGGAGGAAAAAAAAGTGAATTATACTGATTGTAAATTTAGCAAATATTTAAACTGGATTCTGTGTACCACCTGTATACTGTAGTTATGACGCTGCAGCACACAGTAGTCACATGCTTGTACCTCACATTAATGCCACACCTGCTGCATGCTCTGTTAACTCAGGTTCTAGTAAGATGAACTCAGCGAGGGTACATGTGCTCGCAGGTGTGGTAATGTTTAATCTGTATGAGCTAGTCTGGAGACACAGCACTTCCCTTTTACTGAAAAACAGCAGCAGCAGTCACAGAAGTTTGCCGTTGTTTTTGCTCATATCTGGCATGAAAATATTGACTTCTTGGTACTGTTAACCTTTTTTACTTTTAGAATTGCAGAGTCTCAGTCTTCAAACCTTTTGCTAGATTACTTGTTTAAGTAACTGTCTAGGACTTCTGTATGAGACACTGTTTATCTTTTTATCTAGTATTGCCTAATGTGGTGACTTAATGTGTCTTTAACTTGCAATTCCAGCCTAGCCAGTTTGCACTTGTTACTGCCTGTATCTGTTGCCTCATGTTATTTTATGCCACTTATATATTGTTTGCTTGTTGTTGCAGATTCAGATGTACCAGCTCTCTAGACTGCTACATGACTATCACCGCGGCCTGTACAATCACTTTGAGGAACATGAGATCTGCCCAAGTCTCTACGCTGCTCCGTGGTTTCTGACACTGTTTGCTTCTCAGTTCCCTCTTGGCTTTGTTTCTCGCCTGTTTGGTATGTCATCTGCAAAGTTCATAATCGTATTGCTTTTACATTTGTATTATAGCACTAATGGCATTTTTATTTTTCAGATTTTGTGTTTGCCCAAGGGACTGAGGTGATCTTTAAAGTCGCCCTGTGCCTTCTAAGTAGCCATGAGAGTGAAATAGTCAAGTGCGATAACTTTGAGAGTATAGTGGACTATCTGAAAACTACACTCCCCTCACTCAATCAGACACAGATGGAGCAGACCATAGCAAAGGTACAGTAGAGTTATAAGTCAACATTACATAATCACTATGAGGCCAATTTGGTACCAATTATAATAAAACATTAAAATAATATAATAATCTGTGGATGTCATTGTAACATAATTTTGTTTATGTTGTATCAGGTGATGGACATGGATATCTCCAAACAGCTGCATGCGTATGAAGTAGAGTACCATGTTCTGCAGGATGAGATGTTAGATACTGGACCACTTCCTGATGACTCTGAACGCCTTGACAAACTAGAGAAGACCAACGCACAGCTGAAGAAACAAAACATGGATTTACTAGAAAAGCTACAGGTGAAAATAGACATTATTGACACTTATTTAGTATTACCCCAGATCACCAATAGATGGCACCAGATTACAACAGTGAGAAGGAATGTGTTGCCATCTTTACTCAGTCCTGTGGTTTTCCTTTTGGCAAATTAGAATAAAAATGTACTTTTTTATAGTAAATGTCAATTTTTAAATGTACATATTGTTTTTTTAGTAGTCATCTTTAGTAGTAATATTATTACTTTTTAATATTTATACTTTTAAGTTCAATTAAATGTCAAAAACAAATTTATTACATTTGCATCAATTTATGGTCTCACTTAAATAAAATAAAAGGGGTTGACTATAATTGGCTGGTAATTACAAAAAACAATAGCTTTTATCTATTTTTATTAGACATTATTAGCTGGTGATTAGCTAGAAATGTAAATCTGTTATTCTAGTAAGTAATAACATGAAACTACACATGAAACCACAGCTTGTTTTCTCTGAGCTGACTCTAGTTGTTTTGAGCAGGCGGCCCGTCAGAAGATCCAGTCCCTGGAGACCAGCGTGGATAACTTCCTTTCTCGGGAGAGCAAAATGAAGCACATGATCCGCTCTCTGGAGCAGGAGAGGGCAGCCTACCAGAAGACCATTGAACGCATGCGCTCGTGCCTTCCCCCTGACGCCCTGACAGATGTTGAGATGACCCAGATCAAAACAGGACCAAATGGGAAAGCCAAAACTGCAGCCAAGAAGCCATGATGACAACCATGGGCAGATGCACACACAGAAGTGAACAAATAGACATTGTGTTTGAAAAGACTGCGGGGATTTTTTACAGCTGTTAAAATGCTGTACAAGCTTTCACATGATGCTTGGAGTGGAGGCCTCCAGGCTGTATGCTTTAATTGTATACGTCAAAAGGTAACAGGAAGAAGAAGAAGATGTTTTCAGTTACAATGGCCACATCAAGCAAACTTTTTTTTTGAAGAGAACCAGGGAATTTCAAGCCACTACTTAGAAAAAACATTTTGAAAACAACACTGCCTTGATGAATTTTTGTAGCACTACAACAGCAATGAACAGAAACAATCTTGTAGACTTCAGGGTCAATCTCCAGCCATTACCTATGTCAACATGTTTTTATGACTTTGAATGTGAGAGCTTAGATTTATGAACTAGCTTTATTTTTCTTCACTTGAAATATGTCTAATCATTATTTTGTTTATTGAAGCATTACACATCTGTCAGTTCCAGCCCACACATTATCTGATCTTGTAGTGCTCACCACTGCCTTGTGCACTGTACATGTGATTGTACGTGCTGCTTAAAAGGAGGAAGTGTTTCTTCCAGAGCTGGGGCAGGATGTGAGATTGTCTGCAGTCTCAGTTTCCTGTGCGACTGACCGCCGTGTCGCCCTGTTTTAGCTTCTTGTTGAGACTCTGAGGCAAAGTTCACACTATGCAGGAAGCTCCGATATAGAGGGAGCATACACACGTCTGAAGGTGAAATGAATGTAATACAGTACTGTAAAAGCAAAGATCTTTTTTAATCTGAATCTCAAATAAGCCTGTTGTTATACATTTACAAACAGTGGGTTTTGTATCAATCAACATTTCAAGATAATGCATATCTTCAATCACTGGTAATTTTACAGTACTGTGCAAAGTTTTTTGTATTTAAAAACTACAAAATGTCAACAAATCTTAAAGGAGTTAGATACAGACCAAACTGAATTTAATTAATGCAGTATTTTCAGTAAAACAAGCATTAAGCAAAATATAGTGTAAGTTGGGCAATTGTATCCATTTTGTGAAAATAACTCAAGCTTTTGCACAGTACTATACATTGCAATTGTGAGTCTCAGCCTAGCATATTTACTGATGGTTTTGACAGTTCGAGTGAGTTCACAGCTTGTCCCTGGATGCGTTTTATGTTATGGTTCTGTTTGTCTGACTACTGCCAGAAAGGGAATCAGCCCAGGTTATACTGTCATTAGAAGCTAAGTGATAACTGTCACAGAAAAGCACTCAGTGTCTGTCAGTCGTCCTGTCCTTGAGATTTGTTTGCACTGGAGTTATCTGTCATGGCAGTATGCTTGGACATATACTTTTCTTTAGTAAACTGGGCTTGTCTGAGCATCCACACAGTGCACATGCCTCATTTGGCTACAGCTAATTGAAGGAGATACAGCCTGACGTTTGCTGTCAAAGTGATATGTTCTTTGGGTAATTGAGGTGACATGGCAAACCTTTGCACCAAACTTCTCATTAATAATATAGAAAAAGGCTTTCCTCTGAACAGCAGGAATCCTCTCTGTAGATTTGTTTCTCTCTTAGCACTTGTCAATGTGTCAAAGGACCGGCTGAAAAACAAATATTTCTAAATTTCAATATTTCATTTGTAGAAATATTGAAATGTATAAACAAATAACCAAAGAAGTATTCAAAAGGATTCAGAATATGTGTCTTGGTTACCACAGTTAAATTATGTTAGAGTTATAATACGTTCAGTTTCTTTTTCTACGTTTCCCTATGTTTAAGGCTTTCCGTTCAGCTATTGCTTTATATCAAACATGGAACTTAATTGTAAGAGATGATTTTCAGTATTTTGATTTGATTGAGATTTCAAACTCTCAGTTCACGTAACAATGAAACTGCCTTGACTTGATTCAATAAACCTCACCTTTTCTTGTTATGTGTCTGGCCTTCCCTGTCTGTACCAAGCTCTCATAAAGAAATCATCTACCAATCATCTATTTACCATTTCTACGGTGATAGGTTATAGGGTTTGGATTATTTGACTATTAGAGATTAGATTAGAGCATTCATGTAAGGCAATTGTGAATGAGCACCATACCAGATGCATACTATTGCTAATTTCCTAGAGGTGATGGTGATGTAATATGTTAATTAGGGGGTCATACTCTGTTGGCACATAGCCCAATTTGTATGTTAGCTTTGATATGTGTATGTTTGCATGTTAGTTACTTCTAGCTACCGTTATCACTATTATTTTTTTATTTTAAAGGTGCACTGCCCAACTTGTTTAAATGACTTGCCTTGAATATTCCATGGTTTGACATTAAACATATCGATCTATCATTTTATTAATTACAGGTGTTTCTATTGCTCAAAAATACAATTCAGATCTGTGGAGAGTTGTCCCTATTTACAGAAGGAATGAATGTAATGTGATGTAGTGTAGTGCTGTAATCTGCTTGTCTCCCTTGTGATAGATAGCCTTAATCTATACTGTGGAACATTCTAGACAGAGCAATAACATTTCCATGGAGACAAGCAGGTGGCAGACCCTGTTATGCTATGCACCTTCAATAGTTATATGTGGAGAATGACTAGATATTTTCAGTTCAAGCATGTAACGGTAGTAAAACAGTCATGTGAAAATTGAAAAAAAATCACAAGTAGTAGGATAGCCATTCCAAACTCATTTTGTCTGTCTAACCAAAATGTTGTGTTCCCCAGTCTGACCCTGGAACCCCCACAAGTGACGGTCAGAGCCAGAGTCCCATCCCTCTAAACAAAAGGAGTCACATTCCGGGCGTATTCCCACAGTATTCCCACACGAGGAGACATCCTGCAGCAGAGGCAGAGAGCGGGAATTCCACTGGGAGCAGAGCTGGGAACCACACTTCCTTTGCCCTGGAGTCTTATCAGTACTGTTTGTGTTTTCTCTCATCACTCTCATCCTATCTTCATCCTCTAACCCTCCTCTGCGCTCCTCCGGGTCTCCTCCTCATCATCCCATTGGAATAACAAGGATCAATTGCTTTTAGTATATGTATGTGCCTCACCCTTCGACGGTGACTTACTATTTTGTTGACATGACGTACTTTTTACTGATTAATTATGGGAATAGGTGGGACAGCATTATTCAATTGTTATTACAGACCAAAGGAGCGACTAGAGTTTCTTTTAAATGGCTTGGTAAATTACTTATGACAGTTCATTTAATTGTGGGTGGAGATTTGTTAGCCCAATAAATAACAGCTAGCCAAAAACTATAAATTCTTAATTAGAAATATCCAGGAGATTCTTGAAAATACTGGGTTATTTTAGTTTAGGTACCACCACACATCGGCATACTGTAAAAAATTTATTTAAAACAATGTTTCTGTGCAACGCTGTAATTTCCCTTTTGCTGGATAAATAAAAGGTTATCGATTAGATTTGAAGATAGATGACGTTTCCTTTGGTTGTTTGGCTTCAACCAACTTGTCATGATTTACTGTAAAATAAATACTGTCACTAAGGCATGTGGAGTCTTACTGAGGTAAAAGTCAAAAGTAATATTACCAAAATAATGAATAGTGTGCTCATGTCATCTGTATATTCAATTATGTAACTCACGTTCATAAATGTGAATAAGACAAATCAAAACTAAATATGAGTCTTTGTGAAAACTGTAAACCTGTAAGTGTTTTGATGAGAGAGGGAGCTGGCTGCAACAGGAGAAGAGAGGGGCAGAGAGGAGCGGTGGAGTGAAGGAGGAGGTTAGACAGAGTCCCCCGCCTTATATGGAATTTCATACAGCTCTGCTTGTGGTGGAGTCTGAACTGTTTCTGTAGAAGCACTCACATGTAACCTCCTGGACCGAGCTTCATGTTTCAGTTTATCTACTGCATATGTGACGGCAGATTTAATAAAGGTGCACTATGTAACTTTTCAGATGGAGGGTCTGCCACCTGCTTGTCCCCACAGAGACGTTATTGCATTGCCAAGAATTTTCCACAGTATAACAGAAGGCAAGGCAAGTTTATTTGTATAGCACAAATTGTATATAATTCAAAGTACTTTACAGAATAAGAAAGACATTAAAATCACAGTGCAAACAAATCAGAACATAAATAATCATCATTATTAAAAGAGAAGAGAGAAGAAGTCATAAAATGTATTTGTATCAATGTAAACAAACAGCTAATTCTTGAGCAATGAAAACACATGCAATGAAAACATGTAATGACAGATGCTATGGAATATTCAAGACAATGCAATAATAACATCTTCATGGAGTGTGAAAAATCCCTCAGGTAGAATCCATGGCAAAGGAGAAATTCAATTTGTCAACTGGACAAAAGTTTAATAGTTTATTTAGCTTATCCAAGCTGCGAAACGTATTCGACCAAATAAACTTCTGTCCAGTTGACAAATTGAATTTCTCCTTTGCCATCTTTATGGAGACAAGCACTTGATACATAGTGCACTTTTAAAGTATCTGTCACCTTAGTTGGACAGAGGGGAAGACTTACAGTGCCTGACAGGTTGGACTACTAATTTTACTAAATCACAGTTAAGATTAAGATTAGTTTAGATTTTCTGAAAAATATTCACACTCATTTTCCCAATTTGGCTATTTTAGGTGTAAAATTTAACTTCACATTAGAGAATTCCATCACTGTTACCTTGTGAAACCCCTCTAATGTACAGAGAAATTATTATTTGATCAAAACAAATAAGAAAACACATTTATTTAGTTAAAACTACATTTAAAATATCATAAAAATGTGTCAAACTTGGGGTACAATTCTCCCTATCTCTGTCATTAGTATTTTGATTAGTATTTTGAAAACTCAGCTTTCAGTAACCTTTGACATATTTTTCAACTTTTCTTCACCAATTGCTTCTTGATTGGTGTAAAAGATATAATTCATATTTACTGCGGGTATTATCCCATCAAATTAAGTCCAAATCAAAATAATACAAATCTGTCATATGCAATTTAAAGTAGGAAACCCCCTTGTTCAGACAGTAACAGTGATACATAAGGAAAAGGAGGGTCTGTGTGTGTTTGGGTGGAGACTGGGACAGCTGTTGAGACTCAGGTGTGCGCTGTCTAGTCCAGAGAGAATAGCCTGCTCCCATGAGGCCTTCACTAACACGCGCGCACTTCATACTGTCTTATAGTTTAGCCATGGCTTAATTCTCTTCCTTTTCCCCTTACCCCCATGTTCCACTCACATTGACTTTTGACTCCCTCCTCTAAAGCCGTACCACAAACTCTTGGCTATGGCCGTCTTGGATCCAATTGGGTTTTGCTCTCGACTCAGGGCCTTACCTACCGCTGACATGTTTTAGTTAGCACGCTGACAGATTTGCTTCCTACGGAGAGCTTTTCTATCTCTGTACCTGTCATGGAGGAATCTGCCAGAGGGGGCCTGGTGCTATGTGGCAACAGCCAGGACGACAGAAGGAGCAGGACAATAATGAAGAGGCAGACCGGGTGTTGAATTAAACACACAGGCAGGCATACATAGACATAGACACTCCAGTATGAGCATTCCCATGGCTGTTCTGCTGTGGTGTACCCCTTTAGTTTGTTTCGGTGAGAGCAGGTACCAACAGCAGTGCCTGGAGATTCTTGTGATTAATGACATGTCGCTCGTGTCTAAACTCTCTTCATCTGGTTGCTTGACAAGAGCCACTCCATTGCAGTTTCCATCTCTACCCCTGCCTCCGCATCTCCTGCCCCGAGCTGTAGAGACATTACCCACAATCCCCTCGGGCGCCAACAAGCTGCTGCTCAGTATCACCCGACTTACCTGAGCCAGTACACCTTCATTCATGTGTGCGCCCTCAGGAGGCCAGCAAAGACGCTACCCACACACGAAGATGACAGATTTATTTCAACCTCCAATCAAAAGCTGTCTAACCTTACAATTTCTTTTGGTTAAGAAGTGCCACATAAGCGCAACAACTGTAAGTAACAAGTCTGAAGATTTGCCCTCAATTCTCAGACAGTTGTGTCCGGGGTCCCAGGTGGCGCAGTGATCACAGTACAGACTTCTGCTTCGGTACATGTTCTAATCAAATTATCCGGCTCAAATTATCCAGGGAATGATGAGACGAAAGCTCAGTAAGAGACACCGGGAGGAGGAATGGCAGGCCTAAGGAGGGGGTGGTCAGACAGCCAGTGAGTCAGATAGCCTTCTACAAAAAGATCATCAAATATAAGTGCAGATAAAGTTTGTTAATATTGAACTAATTTGTGTGTTTTTCCAAGTTCCAAATTTAGATGAGCGATATCAAGTGATCAGCTCTTAGTAATGCTTGATGCAGCCAGTAGTGATGACTAAATGTAGTATCACAATGCATTTCAGTTGTTAACCATCAACACATTTTCCTTTCACACAAATCACATCTTAAAACCATATTATGCCTAAAGTTCCTATATTACAGAAAATGGAGTCTTGTAAGATTTAAACCATGTTATGATGTTGTTACCTCCTCAAAAACATCCCCGGAGTTGAGTTGTGTTCTGTCTTGTTTTGTTTCAGTCACATGTATGAGTAATCCTTTATTCTTAGTCTATCTACATCTCCAAAGCTGAAAATGCTCAGTCCACCATGTGATGCCATGAAACAGTAGTTTTCAAGATAACACTTACCTTTTAGTTTCATTTAACAGAGATAGGAAATTCCAGGGCTGAAATAATCCATCCAAATATTGATTCTAGTGAAGTATGGAGTTCACCACATGTGATGCCACAAGGTGAAACAATTCTTCTCTCCATCTGAGAGAAGAATGCAGCCTAGATTTGCAGGATTTGTGTGTTAAACATGTGTGAATGAAACAAAACACAACTCCAGGTATGTTTTGGATGAGGAAATAGCATTTTAACATACAGTAGATGAGAAAATAGCATAAAATGGGCCTTTTAATTATAATTGCGAAAACAGT